AAAGCCATAATCTGAAGGACAGATATATTTGGGGGTGGGGTTTCAGACAGCATTCCTACAATTCAGGCTGGTCTTGAACTCACTGGATCCCTCAAACTGGTCTTTAACTCAGGGTGATAACTCTTGCTTCAGCCTCTTTAGCACTGGGTTTACAGGCTTGCATCGCATACTACTGCAATAAGTAAAAGCATCCAGTGTGAACTAAACTCAGTTTCAATTTGTACAGAGGTAAATGGTAGTTTCAAAGTGAGAACAAACCTGGGCCCGGTGGCGAATACTTCTAACACCAATGCTCTGGGAGACTGAAGCAGGAAGAGACCAATTTGGGCCTGAAGCAGGAAGATTAACAACACCCTGTCTCAAAATAAAAAGTGAAAAAGAACTGGGAATGTAGAATAAAGGTGGGCCTAGCGTTGCACACTTTTAACCTCAACTGTCTAGGATAGTAATGGCCAACTTTCTAGAGCTTTCAGTTGATACAAACAGCAGCACATGTACCATAGGCTTGTTACCCCTGCTCTGGGAGGGTGAAGCAAGAAGATTACAACATTGAGCCAAGGCTGAGCAGTTTAGCAAGACTCTGTCTCAAAATAAAAAATGAAAAGCAACTGGGCATATAACTAAATATAAAAGTTCTGGTTCAATCTCCAAAACTACACAAATACATATCACACACAGAGCAGAGGAACATATTTATACTTGCTACATCACATACCTGTCAATCTATTATTATTTATCTTGCTTTTTTTTGGTCTTTTTCCTTTTTTATTGGTACCGGAGATCGAACTCATGACTGCCTGCTTGCAAGGCAGGCGCTTATGCTGCTGAGCTAAATCCCCAGCCCCTTATCTTGCTTTTTTGAGACAAGGCCCCACTATGTAGTTCAGGCTGGTTTTGAACTCACTATGAAGCTTAGTCTGGCCTTCAACTTGAGACAATTCTTCTGCTTTGGCCTCCCAAGTGCTGGGATTACAAACTTGTACCACCATGCCTGACTTAATCCATTTATTTTTGTTGTATTCCAAAGTAGGTAGTATGTACCTAGTTTTAAAGTAACACATTGCAGTGTTGAAGTTTTATTAGCATGTGTTTGGGGTATATTGCCTTTATCTGTAAGTATTTCTATTCCTTATTCTCTTTTATTTCTCTGTGGTCCTAGGAATCAACCCTACACCTTGTGCATCTTACACATGTGCACTTCCACTAACTACACTCCTAACACCTAGCCCCATCTACATTCTTGTAATTTGTTTTTTGTTTGAGACACGGTCTTGCTATATAATTTAAGCTGGCTGGGCTGAGGATTTAGTTCAGCGGCGTAAGTGTCTGCCTTGCAAGTGTGTGGTGTTGAGTTTGATCCCTGGTACTGATAAAAAAAAAAAGAAGAAGAAAAAGACAAAAATAATTTAAGCTGATCTTGAACTCACTATATAGTCCAGGCTGACCTTGAACTCACAAACAATCCTTCTGCCTCAGCCTCCTGAGTGCTAGAATTACAGATGTGTGCATCACAAATGATTTATTTCTAGTTATTAGGTGTAGTTCAGGGAAATGTTTACACTTCATGGACTTATTTTGCCTTTTTTTTGTTTTGTTTTTTTGTTTCAAGGATCAAAGTTATAACCTTGCCCTTGCCAGACAGGTGCTGTGCCACTGAGCTATGGGTCTGGACCTGAGTACTGTTTTTGAGTAATGCATTTTTAAAAAAATAAAAACAACTGGCTTTTTGAGGTGACCTGGCTCTCTTCCCCTTTCACTTTTATGCAGAATCTCTACGTTTTCATTGTCTTATGGGGCTTTTCCTGGAAGGGACTTTTGCTGTTCAGTGTCAGGGCTTTATGAGGTCTTGAGAGGAGTTCCTTATACTAATCAGTTATGGATTAGGTGGTGCATCTTTTTTTTTTTTTTTTTTTTTTTTGGTCTTTTTCCTTTTTATCGGTACCAGGGATCGAACTCACGACTGCCTGCTTGCAAGGCAGGCACTTTATGCCGCTGAGTTAAATCCCCAGCCCCTTTTTTTCCAATTTTTTTTTCTCTTTTTATCGGTACCGGGGATCGAACTCACAACCACCTGCTTGTAAGGCAGGTGCTTATGCCGCTGAGCTAAATCCCCAACCCCAGACGGCGAATCTTTTAAAACTGTCAGTGATACAAACAGCTAGCCATGGAATGCATGCCACAGGTTCACCAGCACTGTACCTTGCTGCACATTTTAGCAGACACCTGCTGGCACTCCTGGGGTTATTCTGTTCACAGATCCATCAAATGCTTCTTGCTTTTCTTTATTTTCTTCCACAGGGAGAGCTGAGAACACACAAAACCTATCCTTGGTTCTTACTCCTCTGCGTTATTTGGGAGCGTGAGGGGCTAGCGTGTTTAGAAAATGCACTTGATGGGTTTTCAGTTTTGCTGTTTGCTTGCCTGCTTCCTCTCTCCTTCTCTCCCGCTCTCTGTTTTTCTGAGATGAGTGTCACTATGTTGCTCAGGATGTCCTCAAACTCCTGGATCCAAACAATTCTCCTGCCTCAGCCTCTTGAGTTGCTGGGACTATAAGCAGGTCACCATGACAGGCCTCGGTTAGCTTTTTTTTTTTTTTTTTTTTTTTTTTTTTGTCTTTTTCCTTTTTTATCGGTACCGGGGATCGAACCCACGACTGCCTGCTTGCAAGGCAGGCGCTTATGCCACTGAGCTAAATCCCTAGCCCCTCGGTTAGCTTTTTAAAAATTTTTTGCAGTGCTGAAGATTGAACAGAGGGCCATGTGCATGCCAGGCAAGGGTTCTCTACTGGACTATACACCTCCAGTTCTCAAGATTTCTTTAGTTTAGGGGCTGGGGATTTAGCTCAGCGGCATAAGCGCCTGCCCTGCAAGCAGGCAGTCGTGAGTTCGATCCCTGGTACCGATAAAAACGAAAAAGACAAAAAAAAAAAAAAAAAAAAAAAAAAAAAAAAGATTTCTTTAATTTGCTTTAATAAGTTTTTGTGGGGATATGCATAATTTTTACATTATTCCTATGTATTTGATTTTTTGATATTGTAAATCACAGGTTGATTGCTGCTTTTCTACAAACACATTTTTAATATATTTTCTTTGTAATTCTAATATTTTGCTATAGTCTTTTGATTTTTGTCTGTACACAGACATGGTCATTAAAAATAAAGATTTTAGGGCTGGGGAAACATAGCTTAGTGGTAGAGCACAGTTGTATAAAGCCCTAAGTTTAACCTCAGTCACACACACACACACACACACACACACACACACACACGCATGTTTTAGTTTTTCCAGTTTCTTTTTCTTTTTGTGGTACTGAGGCTTAAAACAGAGATGACATGAATGCTGGGCAAACACTACCACAAAATGATCCCCAAAACCCATTGTTTCCTATTTTATACCTATTTTTTCCTATTTTATACCTATTTATTTTATTGAAACAACTAGAACTGCATGAAATGTTAAATACAAGTAATAGCAGTGCCAGGCCTAATGGTGCATGGAGGCTGTAATAGTTACCTAGGAGGCTGAGGCAGGAAGACCACAAGTTTCAGGCCAGTCTGGGCGATTTAGTGAAAATACATTACAAAAACAAAAAGAAAAACAAAAAAAGCGGTGAGCAGAGCTGCAGCTGCTGCCGTGCACAGCACTTGCACAAAGCCCTGGCTTTGGTGTTCCACACACCACCAAAACCCAAGTGGGCAAACAAGCCCCAAACCAAAAAGATACTGTGTTTGTCTTCTTTTTTCTTGAAATCAAGGAGAAAAAGTTAAATATTTTACCACAAAGGGTGATCTTCGTCTTCCTCTCTCACTTGTTTCTAGTGCTGCAGACTAAAGCAGGGACTCAAGGACCTGAGTGAGTGGGGTAAGCTCACCCAGCCAGGCCACAGCATCAGAGCCACATGTCTACTTTTGAGTCTGTTCTTCCTAATACAGTTTCCCTTTGTTCTTGCATTTGCAGAGTTATTAGGAATGGTTGGATTTCATTATTTTCATATTGAGATGATAGTACTTTTTCTCCTTTTGATCCTATTAACATTGTTATCAACTGATTTTCCAATGTTCAGACAGCCTTTTCGTTCCTGAAGTAATCATACTTGGTTATGATGTGTCGTTCCTCTTATTAAACACCAAAACCAAATAACAATTGACAATTTGGTTAGAATTTTAGTGTGTCCACGAGAACCTGGCTTGTAACTTTTCTTCTTAAATTGTTCTTTCATTTCTTATTTGGGTATTTCTGGCCTGATAAAACAAGTTGGGAAGTTCTTTTACTGTATTTTCTGGTAATGTATGTGTAAGGCTGCCATTATTTCTTCCTTAAATATTTGGAAGGAGCTGGACCTAGTGGCCCACACTTATAATCCTAGCATTTAGGAGGCTGACGCAAGAGGATAATGAATTCCAAGCCAGGTCAGCTTGACCATAGAAAGACTATCTCAAAAAAAGAAAAAAAAAAGCTTCTATCAGAAGCTTCCAATTTTCTTCTTCTTCTTCTTTTTTTTTTTTGGTCTTTTTCTTTTTTATTGGTACCGGGGATCGAACTGACGACTGCCTGCTTGCAAGGCAGATGCTTATGCCGCTGAGCTAAATCCCCAGCCCCCCAATTTTCTTCTTAAGTTTTTCAACTTCTTCACTACAGACAGGCTTATTAGGATTTGTTTCTTCTTGAACTGGATTTGATAAATTGTTCTTTTCAAGGGATTTGGCCAATGTATTATTTGTGTGTGTGTATGTGTGTGTGTTACCAGGAATCAAAGCTGGGACCTTGCAGTTGCCAGAAAAGCATCTGTGCCACTGAGCTATATCCCCAGCAACACCTTTTTTCTAAAATGAAAACCTAAGAATACTAACCTCCAAAATACCCTTCATTAAATAACTTACAAGCACTCAACTATCATAAAAAATTCAGACTTACACGACTCTCTACAATCTTTTTCCTTGTCACTTACACTGACATATAATTTATGCACTACGGACTTGTAAATATCCCTATAAGACAGAAGCCACTCAGACTGCATTCCTCCCCTTTATTCCTCCAAGGAGACAGCAAGAACGATCATTCACTGCAAGTGGTATTTGCATTCAAGGAACACCAAGAGCTCCACACTCAGAAAAGAACATGTCATCTCTTCTGTGTGGCTTCTGGTGCTCTACACGATTAGAGAAAGTCCACTAGTAACATACTACAGAAGTGATCCCTGAAAGTATAGCCTTGGCCAATGTATTAAATTTGTCAAATTCTTTGACCTATTTATAGTAATTATACAGATGCCCATACACCCTTGTTTTTTTGTCTTTTTCATTTTTATCAGTACCAGGGATCAAACTCACGACTGCCTGCTTGCAAGGCAGGTGCTTATGCCGCTGAGTTAAATCCCCAGCCCCAAATACACACCCTTGTTTTGAGACAGGGTCTTGTCTTGCTGTGTTGTGCAGGCTAGTCTTCAGCTCACAATCCTGCCTCAGCCTCCTGAGTAGCTGGGACTATACCAGCAGGCCATAAAGTATTGGGCATTAAACCCAAGCCCTTCACACTGAGCTACATTCTCAGCTCTTTTTTTCCATTTGTATTTTGAGGCAATCTTGCCAAACTGCTATAATGCCCATGGTAGGTTTCAAACTTCCTATAGTCCTGCCTCAGCCTCTCAGAGTGCTGGTATTATACACATGTGCTACCATGTCCAACTAAAATCACTACATAGAAATAAAAACTCAAGCCAGGTATTGTGGCACATTCCTGTAGTTGTAATATTCTGGGAGGGTGAGATGGGGGATAGCAAATCAGGCCCAACTTGGGCAGGTTAGTGTGTGTGTGTTGGGGGACTAGGGATAAACCTCAAGGAGAGGTCCGTGGGCTCAATTCTATTTCAGCCAAAAACAAAAAGTTACTCATCCCTTATGAAAACATACTATAGTCTTCAGTATCTTCACCATCTTCTTAAACAAGTCCCTACTTTCTCTTAGCAATTATTATTATTTGTTTTCCTTTTTGGTACTGGTGATCGAACTCAACACCTCACAGTCTTGCCAAGAAGACGCTTATGCTGCTGAGCTAAATTCCCGGCCCAGTCCTCACTTTCTCAAAAAGAGTTATTCGCCTCAAATTTTTTTTCAGTTGAAGTTGCTTAAGTTCTCAAATTCTTTTCAATGTGTTGTTGATAAAGATTGAATTTAGGGCTTTGCACATGCTAAGCACACACTACACTAATAAGCAACACTTCCAACTTCTCAAATTCTTAATTTCAGACTAAATTCTACAATTCAACATTGTAGAATACCGTTCCATTTCTAAAACCTGGTAACATTCTGTGGTTTTTTTCGACCTCTTTTACCACCACTGCAAAGTGTAGCTGCTTCTCTTATGATGTCTCAAGGAGTTGGATTTTTACTTATTTGTTTGCAGACAGGGTCTTATAGTCCAGGCTGGCCTCAAACTCACAATGATGCTCCTACCTTGTCCTCCTGAGCACTGGGATTACAGGCATGTGCCACCAGCCTAACCTACAAGGAGCTAGAGTTTTAAACTAACAGCAAGGGGTAACTTCAACGTTTTAAAGGCCAGATGTGGCCTAAAACATTGTATTACACTTTATACTGCACTTTCTCTCCCTCCTTTTGATAGTAGGGATTAACAAAGGGCTTTTACAATAAACTACATCCTCTGTTCATCTTTCATTTTATTTAAAAATTGTTTTTTCTGTTTTGCTTAGAACAGTTTGTTTTGTTCTGTTCTGTTTGAGATAAGATTTCACTATGTAGTTCAGGCTGGCCTTGAAGTCACTATGTACACCTCAGACTTGTGGGGTTCCCTCTGTTCACCCTCCTGCATTTTGGGATTACAGGCATGCACCACCAAGTGCAGCAATATTTTAAAATTTTGAGACAAAATGCCCCAGGTGAAAGCTGAATTTACAATCCTGCAGCCTTAGCCTCTCAAGTGGTGGGATCATAGGTGTGCCATATTGCCTGGCTCCTTTGTGCTGAACTTTACTTTCAATCACTTACCTGCTTTTACACCCCCAAGCCTTACCAGCAGTGATAGGGATCCAATCCATGCATGCTAAGCAACCACTCTTGTCACTGTTATACTGCTTCCCTATTTTCATCATCAAAGATTAGAACTTCTCCCATTTTTATCAAAAAGATTAAGACATTCATTTTACTTTAAAAATTTTATTAGTACATATTTGTAATGGTTACATACATCGTGAAGAGTTGGTTACAGGTACATAGTATTTTTTTGAGACAGGGACTCACTGTAGTTTGAACTCACTGTGTAGTCCAGGCTGGCCTCAGCCTGACTCGAGAGTGGTGGGATTACTGGAGTGCATCACCACGCCTGGGCTGATAATAGATTTTCATAGCATGAAACCTATTGTGAGCTGCACATGTGTGGGACCTAAATTGTGGCATATTTAGGAAAAAGTAAGGCCTGATGATCTGAGGTGGCGCAGAAGTAGTGATGCTAGTGCTGTGAAGCAGCTGTAAAGAGATTGGTATCAGCAGGGAGATTTGACTGCACAGACCATAATCACTTGCATTCATATCAAAACTATATCACTGTAGCAAGTGACAAGGTGAACCTGGCAGGTTTTACAATGGCACGTAAGTTGATGTACTTCAATTGCCCAGCTGCTTGTGGTGGCAGACTTTAACTCAGAACCTGATACTTATTTTAGCCTGCTGATGGTCATTTTTCATTTACCACTTTTCTCTGGACCTCTTCCCCACACTGTGCATTTGTCTGTTAGTTTTGGCAAACCCCAAATAATTTCTAGCCAAAGTGAGTAAAAAAAAATCCACTGAGGAGCTTCTTGAAAAAGAGAATATGGCTCAACAATGAATGAGAGAGTAGGAGGCTCTATGACTGCCAATAAAAAGGAAAGATGCTGTGATGGAATAAAAACCGGTGGTCAATTTAATACCAGCTGAATTAAATCAGTATGGTGCTGCATGTAGATGGCCCACCTAAGGAAAGTTGCCAGCCTAGAGACATGGGGAGGAGCTGGGTGTTGTGGGTTCTTCTAAGTGTTGCTGTTTAGAGCCATTGGCTCTTCTGGAGGAGCTTGTGCTGCTGGCTTCCCTGATATGAATTCAGCCCCTATCACTAGAGAAGCTTGTCACCGAGAGTGGTTACAGTTCATTTTGAAGGAGCTCTGGTCCTTACTTTAAGCATTGCTTCCTGGCTCTGGAGGGTGAGGATGTTGTTTAGTCTCCAGGAGAGGCTTGTAACACTGCCTTCCTGACATGTACTCAACTATTATCATCATCAGGGGAGCGTGGGACCTCACTATTGCTAAGGATGGCTGTCATTTTCGGGGGAGCCCTGGTCCTTATTTTGAGTGCTGCTCCTTAGCTCCAGGAAACCCTCAACCTACTAGCACAAATCCTTCACCCTACTGGCACAAATTTTTTGGCTTGCACCACTGACCTTTGGGATCTTCCCAGCGAAGATCCATGAAAGAGACTTGCATGAGTCAGTCATGGGCTCTAGGTATTCAGCTGGACTCATGCAGGACATTACTGCGGGATCCCAGCCCTCGGCTGAATTTTTTTGGTCTTTTTCATTTCTATCGGTACCAGGGATCAAACTCAGGACTGCCTGCTTGCAAGGCAGGCGCTTATGCTGCTGAGCTAAATCCCCAGCCCCTCAGCTGAATTTTTTACATCTTTACTGTTGTGGACAGATTTCCTGTACTTTCTTGTATTTAACTCTGTGTGACCATCATAAAATAAATTGTGTCCTGCATGTAACTGTTCTCCTTGCCCTACCTACAACAGGTGCCCTTAAAAGAAAACACTGATGGAGAAGGGGAGAAGAAAAAAGAATTAAGACGACTGTACATGTACCAACCTCTCAGGATGAATGTAATCATTGTGTACCGCAAACACGTACTACTTCTAAGTCTTAAACTATGAGTTCACTGCAACAGGTGATTCACATTCCCCAAGCCTGCTTTGTAGTGTCTGGTTATGCAACAAAGTGATGAACTGATCACAGCTTCTTCACATGGAGTCCAAGGATCTTGTCTCCGGGATTTTTCAAAAGAAAAAAATGTGAATATGAAAAAGAGAAGCAATTACTGAGGCCACCAGTTCATTAATAGATGTCTGCAATTCCATCATTCTTTGTGGCTTATGCTTACCAAGCCCATTACTATTGGTTGTGCTGCTCTGAAGGACGTTTGTCATGAACTTTTACAACAGCCTGTGGTTCAAAAAGTGGCACATGGGGGCTGGGGATTTAGCTCAGCGGCATAAGTTGTGAGTTCGATCCCCGGTACTGATAAAAAGGAAAAAGACAAAAAAAAAAAAAAAAAAAAAGTGGCACATGTTCCTATTTTGGCTAATACCATAACTAGATGAACTGACGAGACAGAGGCTAGCAGAGGCACAGTTGCACTGATGACACTGTGACACACAATCCCGGTTGAAAGGCCTATTAGTGTATACAACATACAATGCTTATTTTTGTGCAATGTATTTTTCAGGCAGAGGAGAATGAAGATAGTATGTGAACATTCACTGCCAACCAATACCACAGCTGTAGTACTACCTGTGTTTGAATGATTATGTATCAGGGAAACTGAATTTGTCTTTTTGTGTTCGTAGATGCAAGAATAGAACCCATGACTAGACAGCTTTCTGGTTGTATTACTCAGACCAGTGTGATCTAGGTAATGTCATTAATAGCAAAATGCTTGCCAGCTGAAAAATGTCAAACAGTATTTGATGGAAAGTGATTAAGAATCTTGAGTTATCCCACTTATGCCATGGAACAGTTTTTCAAACTCCCAGCAATTGTCCTGGCTCAGCCTCCCAATTGCTGGCATTACAGGTTGTCAGGGAAAGGGTTAAAGCATGACAATCATCTGGAATGCATGTTTCATAATAGGCCTTTATGCATCAAGGTTATCTCCTGAGAAAAAGTGTACAGAGATAACTGTTGATTCCCAGCTCTAGCCAAGGCTGGGAACAATCCCTTTTGGCCAAATAGGCCTCCTGGCACTTTTTTTTTTTTGACAGAGTCTCGCTATCCAGTTTAGGCTGGCCTTGAGCACTTTCCAGCCAAGACTGGTCTTGAACTAGCAGCAATTCTCCTGCGTAGCCTCCTGAAGAGCTGGGATTACATGTCCAGCTTCAGCACCAGTTGTTTGTCTGAATACAGTACTTAAGAAACTGAAAGACTGTGATGGTGTTTTTTCTTTTGCCTGCCAAAGGCTCCATCTTATGTAAGATCCATCCCTAGGGGATTCTTCAGCATTGGTGCTATACCCTTGTCATGATAATACATTGACTATGTTCATCCATCTGCTGTGCTTTTTTAATAAATTTACTTTCATCTTTTTAAAATCATTGTGTGACTCCTGTGTGGATCCAAACCTCAAATTTCTGTGGCTACATGCTTGCTGTTACACAGGCATGCACTACCATACTGTGCTCAATTAAGAATCATCAACCGGAGGATGGGGATTTAGCTCAGCAGCATAAGTGCCTGCCTTGCAAGCAGGCAGTTGTGGGTTTGATTCCTGGTACTGATAAAAAGGAAAAAGACAAAAAAAAAAAAAAAAAAAAAAAAAAAAAAAGAATCATCAACCGGGGCTGGGGATTTAGCTCAGCGGTATAAGTGCCTGCCTTGCAAGCAGGCAGTTGCGAGTTCGATCACTGGTACTGATAATAAAAAAAAATAAATAAATAAAAGAGGATAATAAAAGGAAATAAAAGATAATAAAAATAAAAAAATAAAATCAACCAGGCAGACCATGCAGAGCGCAGGAAGAGAAAAACTAGAATGCCTTTCCCATGAGCCATGCAGACCCACATGCGGCCCAGAAAGAGAAGTCTTTGCTTTCCCCAAGAGTCAGCAGGCCACACTGGGTGTGGGAAGAGCACATCAAGAAGCTAGTTTGATCTTCCTTTAAGCTGTGCAAAACAGGTGGGGCTCAGGAAGAGATAAGCCAGTTTGCAAGACAGGCTGAGTTGATAGGAACTGAGGTACAAAAACAACTAAATGCTTGTATTGTTTGACTGACTTTGCAGGGTTAAGGTCAGTAGTCTAAGCATTTACTCGGAGGATGATAGTATGTAATATCACAAATATGGAAGATTTTCTTCTGTCGTTTTTCAAATCCAGTACTACTGTTTTGATTCAATGCTATCTTAATTGGTTTTATTCTGTTTCATTTTATTTGGTTATGTCTGAGTAGAAAACTATTGTAATAACAAGACATATTATGGTAGCCACTGTTGATGACCCATTGTCTGTTTTGAAGTTTTGTACCACTTTCATTGTTTTGTTTAGATTGACTTTATTCTGTTACATATTGTTGGGCTTTATGCTTCTTAAATTAAAAAGAATCAACAACTACATTAAAATATACGCCCTTAACTCACATCTGTCTATGCAATTCTGTGAGATGGAACACATGTCTTTGTTCATGTAGAGAAGTGATAGCTTTCTAAATATAGATCACTGGCCAGCTTTTTTGTTATGGGAGCTACCAAAGACATTTGTTTCAGAAAAAGTTACCACTAGCAGCACATTTCAGTGATATAGCATGATAAAAAAATGCACTCACAGGCTGGGGATTTAGTTCAGCAGCCTAAGTGCCTGCCTTGCAAGCGCTCAGTCATGAGTTCGATCCCCAGTACCAAAAAAAAAAAAAAAAAAAAAGCATTTACATATGTGACATATTCAACCTGCTGAATGAACTCAATCTGTTGCATCAGGGGAAAATGACAGCTTTGTTCAATAAGCAGATAAAGTGGATGCATTCAAAGCTAAACTGGAATTATGGAGGTTATGAATAAACTTTGAGGTTCTGACATTTCAAAAATTAACAGAAATTTTGAGAGAATTGGCCCTTGTCTCCCAGCTGATACAAGATAGCCTATTTCAGCTTTCAAAAGATTCTGAGTAGTATGTCCCAAACACAAAAGACTCTCAAAGTGGAAAGGAATGGATCCATGATCCATTTCTGAAATAAACTGTGAATCATTTTGTCCACACTAAAAAAGGAGTATCAAACTACGTGAGACAGCAAACAATGACAGTCTCCAGAGTATATTGGAGACAATTTCAAATCTCCATATTCTGGATTATAGACAATGTAGAATATCCTGAGATTTCACAATAGTACTGAAAAGCCCCCATGCATTCCCAGCATCCTATTCGTGTGTAAAAGGTTTTTTTTTTTTTTTTTTTTTTTTTTTTTTGCATTAACAGCAACCAAAATAAGATTACAGGATAGAAATACAGTTGTACTGGGATATCTCAATAACCTACTGTCACAAAAGACAGATCAACTACACAAAAATATCAGTAATGAAATGTTAGAACTGAATCAAACTCTTACACATAGAAATTAAATAGCACCCTACCAAACAATCAATGGGTCACAAATGAAATTAAAGAAGAAACTAGAGTTGGTACAGTTGAATGATACTGACAGTACAATATGCCAGAACTTGTGAGACACCATGATAGCAGTCTTAAGAGGGAAATTTATAGTAGTAAATACTTGTATCAGGAAAACATAGCAAGTGCATAAAACTTAATGTTAAATCTCAAACTTCCAGAAAAAGAAGAGTAGGCGAAACCAAAAGCTTGCACAAGGAATGATATTATAAACATCAGAGCAGAAATTAATACACTGGAGTAAAAAAAAAATTTAAAATAAAAAAATCAAAGATTCAATGAATCAAAGAGTTGGCTCTTTGAAAGATCAAATAAAATTGACAAAACTTTAGCTAACCTTATCAAAAAAAGAAAAAGGACTCAAATCCATATAATTAGAAATAAAAAGGGCAAAATCACAACAGAACCTGAAGAAACCCAGAAAATCATCTATGCCTACTTTGAAAACTTGTATTCTAATAAGATGGAAAATACAGAAGAAATGGGAGATTCCTAGATACGTATGAATTACCAAGGCTGAATCAAGAAGATATAAAAACTCTAATAAATTAAATTGAAGATATAATTAAAAACCTATCAACAAAGAAAAGCCCAGGCCCTGATGGATTCACTGCTGAATTCTGCAAGAAAGTTAGAGAAGACCTAACACTACTACTTCTCAAACTCTTTAAATTCATTCCCGGAAGCAAGCATTACCCTGATACTCAAAACCAGAGAAAGACCCAACTAAGAAAAGAGAATTACAGGCCAATCTACCTACTGAACATTAATGCAAAAGTCCTCCATAAGGTACAGGCAAACAAACTGCAGTAAACTGTTAAGAAGATTATACACCATGACCAAGTGGGATTCATCGTAGGGATGCAGGGTTGGTTCAACATATGTAAATCCAAACATATATACCATATTAACAAAGCCAAGGACAAAAATCATAGGCTCATCTCAATAGATGCAGAAGAATCTTTTGACAAAAATGCAGCACCCATTCATGATAAAAATCCTATAGAAAATTAGAATGCACATAGTCCTTATCTCAATCTAATAAAAGCCATCTACATAAACCAACAGCAAACATGATACTAAAAGGACAAAAACTGAAAGCTTTCACTCTAGAATCAGGAACAAGAAAAGAATGTCCACTGTCTCCATTCTTACTCAACATAGTCCTAGAAACTTTAGCTGGAGCAGTTAACAAGAGAGAGAAATAAAAGGAGAAGCTGGAGATTTAATTTACTGGCATAAGCACCTGCCCAGCCAGCACAAGGTCATCAGTTTGACTGCTGTTACCACAAAGAAAAGAAAAGAAAACAAACAAAAAAAGAAATAAAAGGAATAGATAAGAAAGGAAGAAGTTAAATTATTGTTATTTGCAGATGACACGACACTCTACTTAGAAGACCTGAAAAACTCCGCCAAAAGACTTCTAGATTTAATACGTAAATTCAGTAACACAGCTAGGTACAAAGTAAGCAATCAAAAATCAATAGCCTTCCTGTACACAAATAAACTCACTGAGACAAATCAAGGAAACAATATCTTTTACAATAGTATCCAAAAAAGTGAAATACCTAGGAACCAATCTAAGAAAGGATATAAAAGATGTCTATATCAAAAACTATAGTACTCTGAAAAAGGAGATTAAAAGGGTATTAGAAAATGGAGATATCCCACGCTCTTGGATAGGAAGAACCAATATAGTGAAAATGGCCATACTTTCAAAACTATTATACAGTTTCAATGCAATCTCAATAAAAATTCCAATAGTGTATCTCACAGAATTAGCAAAAACCACTTTAAAATTCATCTGGAACCAGAAAAGACCTACAATAACAAAGGCAATTCTGGGAATAGCAAAGACAAGACAGGGGACATCACAATCCCTGACTTGAGATTATACTATGAAGCTACTGTGATAAAAAGCATGGTGCTGGGAAGAAAAAAAAAAAAAAATCCAAACAGACCCAGAAATCAGTAGAATAGATTAGAAGATGCAGAAACAAACTACAGACACACTAAGCCACTTTATCTTTGACAAAGGTGCCAACAAATTCACTGGAAGAAAAATAGCTTCATTAATAAATGGTACTGGAAAAACTGGCTCTGAACATGTCAGACATTAAAACTGGACCCACCACGTAAAAGCTAAAATCAGAACGGGTCAAATATCTTATTACGACAAACATTAAATCTCCTGGCAGATAAGAGTAAGTAAAACTCTTGAAGATGTTGGTATAGGCAGACTTTATGAACAAAACTCAATTTATTCAGAAACACAAGAACTATCACAAAGAACCAACAACTGGGATCTCACCCTACTGAAAAGCTTTTGCACAGCAAGAGGAACCATGAACAGAGTAAAGAAACAATCCACAAAGTGGGAAAAAATGTCAGCTGTACCTCAGACAAAGGATTATTATCTGCAACATATAACGAAGTAAAAAAAAAAAGTTCTCCGAGACTTAAAAGACCCAAATCCCAAAATGGGCATTTGAGATAAATACATATTTTTCAGGTGGACAAATATAAACAGCAAATAAATATGTGAAAAAATGTTTAACATCACTGGTCATTTGAGAAATGCAAGTTAAAATAACACTGAGATTCCATCTCACCCCCGACAAGAATGGCTGCTATCAAGAAATCAAGCAATAACAAATGCTGGAGGAGCTGTTGGGGAAAAGGAACCTTTTCCCAATGTTGATGGGAATGCAAACTGGTGCAACCACTGGTGCAATCAGTGTGGATTCCTCAAAAAAACTAGGATTGGAGGTGCCATTCAACCCAGCTATTCCCTTTCTGGGCATTTTCCCAAAAGAACTAAAAACATCACACAATGATATATGTGCACTCATGCTTTTAGCAGCATAGCTTGTAATAGCCAGATCTTGGAAACAACTGCCCATTGATTGAGGAATGGATAAAAAAGATGTGGTATTTTTATACAATGGAGCACTACTTAGCCATAAAGGATAAACTGGAGAACTTTTATAGATAAATGGATGCAACCTATCATACTCATTAGTGAAATAAATAAGACACACATGTGTAAACACTGCATTGTCTCAGCGTGAGAAGCTGAAAGAAAAAAACATATGCATGTGCATGTACATAAAAATAGTTAAGAGGTTATACTATTGATTTCACTGGAGTGAAAGATTTGTGCTGGTATTGTTTGGACAATTGAATGCTGTTGTCTTGTGCGCTGGGTGAAGGATTAGGGGATGATAATGTGTAATGTATGTACCATTGTTGCCCCAGATTGAAGCATTTTAAAATTTTGTTGTAGTTTTTTCTTTTTATCCTTGAAATAAAATGGATCTGAAAAGAAAAAAACCAACCAAAATGAGAGACAGAAAAAAAGATTACAGGATAGAATGGCTATAGCAACAAAGTCTGTCTAGCTGAAAAAAAAATTGGGACCCCTGATTGTACATTATGGACAGCTGTATAATTATTTCATTATTATAATGTAACAATAAAGTACACAATAAATATAATGTGCTTCAATCAACCTGAAAATATCCATCTCTCCTGTCTGTGGAAAAACTGTCTTTCACAAAGCTGGTCCTAAGAGCTCAAAACATTGGGGACTGGTGGTATAAAGTAACTGAGTTTGGAATGGTGCTTATAATTGGGAGACCTGGGGAGAAAGATTGAGCCTGAGAGTTTGAAACCAGCCTTGGCAATACAGTGAAGTCATCTAAAAATGAGAAAAAAGAAAACGAAAAAAAGTCAGCAGCGGCAGCAACAGCTATTAGCAATCCTTTGTGGCTCATAGAACTAAAAAGAAAAGGCCAGGAAATTCTAAGAGAGGATTATGGAGAGGAGGGAAATCTCATCATCTGTGGGATGAAAAAACCAACAAATGAGTATTAATTGGCACTACCATTTCTTGAGGACTGTTATTTTGAAGACTATTCTAATTCTTGGTATTAGATTAGTAGCAGGAAATGCCTTTTCTCAAAGAAATTGGAAAGCTGGAAAAATAACCCGATATAACTAAATTCTGCAGCTAGGAATGTTAAAGATGGCCAGCAAGATGTTTACTTTTTTTCTTTTGTCCTTAGTAAGAATTGTCTATATACTAACTTTATAATGTAAAAATAGAACTGGAAAAGTAGAAAAACAATTACGCTCATCTAGAGGTTTACAATTGTATCTTCTGAGTTTCCAATTTATCTTTCTGTGAGCATATTATCAACAAAAATGTTAAAAAAATTCAAATTTAAAAGTTACAGTAAACATGTATCAGCTCAACCCTCAATCTTTTTTTAAAAATCTTTTTACATTTTAACTCATTAAAATATATAACATTTATGGCATCTTATGGGTGAGGTGAACATCTAATTTTGTTTTCTCAATGCATTGATTTATACTTTTATCAAAGTCTCTTAAGCAGCAACTGGTTGATTTCATGAGTTTGCACATATATCAAAGAATAGTACAAGTGCAGTACACAAGAAGTTGATCATTCAGTTGACTGGCTTTTATGAAATAACAGGCACAATGATTGCAGGAAAATCTCAAAATCTAGTTTATGTTCTCTAGACTCTCTTCTTAGCCCCTTGACAGTAAACTGGATGTTCGGAAGATTCTAAGCCATATTTACATTCAAGTCTGAAAGACTCAGTCATCCAGTTTTCAAGACACAGAATGGCTAGAATTTAATGAGCATGATTTTTGTAGGTATTTTAAAAAGAACCATATGGGCTGGGGATGTAGCTCAGCGGTAGAGTGTTTGAGAGTGTTTGCTTAGTGTGCACATGGATCTGAGTTTAATCCCTGGTACCACATACAAAAAACCAAAAAAACCAACAGAAAAAAACCCTTACATACTGCAATCACCGAGTCTGCAAGTATTCTTAATGTAAGCCTCTCTTGAAGAGTATCTTCTCTAGTCACATTTTTTTTTTTTTTTTGGACATGGAGATACACTTTTGGGTGACACTAAACTCATTATGGAGTACAGGCTGGCTTTAAACTTGTGACAATCCTTCTAATTTGACCTCCCAAATGCTGGGATTATAGGTATGAACCACCACACCAGGCTCTGCTTTAGTCATTGTTGATATGCCGTTTTCTTTCACAGGAAAAGCCTTGGAAAGAAAGAAGCTCAAATATAAATAAAATTTAGTACATGATAAAACTGAAATCAGAAATGAGAAACAAATGAAAGAATTATTAAATTTTAGATTTGTGATTTCTCAAATTTCCTTTCTCAGAAAAACAAATCATCCACAATACTGGAAGGTTAATAATATATTTTTACTTTAATTTTTGTAATATTTGGACCAATATAAGAGTAGGTATATATTCTTTATGCTTATAGTTCTTATAACAATAAAAACCATAACATTTACAAATTAAATTAAAACAGAAATATAAAATCAATAAAATATAAACTATTCTCCTTTATGTAATACAACAAAGCTGTTTTGCTCAAATAGAAATGTTTTGCTCAAGCCAGGGGTCATGGTATATGCCTTTAATCCCAGTACTTGGGAAGGCTGAAGCACAAAGATTTCAAGTTTGAGCTGAACCTGAGCAATTTACTAACTTACAGAGATCTTGTCTCAAAAAAACCAAAGGAAAACAAATGCATAAAAAGAAGGGGTAGTATATAGCTCAGTACAAAACACTGGATTCAATCTCCAGTACCACCCCATCACCATGCCTCCACCTGCCAAAGAAGTTTGGCTTAAAAGACATAAATCGCAAGTATTCGGGGGCCAAGGATTTAGCTCAGTGGCACAGCACCTGCCCTACAAGAGTGTGGTCACAAGTTCAATCCCTGGTACTAAAACAAACAAACAAAAACAAAATACAAGTATTTGGTTTAATAGCAAAAAATTGTAGTTTCAGATTCCCATTTTGTTCTTAAAACAAATGAAAGTCTTTAAGAATGTTGAGAGTATGTTCCTGAAAGTAACTTACTGAACTGGTATTAATAAAGGCAAGTCTCTCTTTGCTCTTCTTTCTTGTTTGAGACAAGGCCTTGCTATGCAATTGAGCTAGCCTGGAACTCTATGTTGCCCAGGCTGGCCTTGAATTCACAACAGTTCTCTTGTCTCAACTTCCCTAATGCTAGGATTACAGTGTGCCACTACATCCAGCCCTCCTATTTCTTAGTCATTTTGTACCAAGGATTGTACCAGGCAGGTGCTGTGCCACTGAGCTATATCCCTGGCCAATAACCAGAGCATTAATCAAAATTCTTAAATAGTAGTTTTCAATTGCCAATTGTAAAAAAGGTGACAAATCAAGAATATTAAAAACTGTCTTCACTAAACTTTCCAATTGGTTTTACATTTGGAACAGGAATGTTCTTTACTACCTGCTATTACACTTAATGCTAATAAACTGTTGCATGCTCATTACTGCTCACAAGTGAAGGATAGTGACTCATGGATCAATTTTTTCCTTAAGTAATGACAGAAACCCAATTGGGTACATCATGTGTACCACAATAGGACACCATCATTTTTTTCGGTGTCACATAATTTGTATTTGGCAGCTTCATCAGTTTTATTCTTTTTCAAATCAGATTTTAATTTTGAGTACTTAACAGTATTGTTCAGGTGCATCTCACTTTCTTCATGTTTACTAAGAATATGTGATAGATGCTGCCAATCCCTGCACCCATTCTCATTTTTAAGTTGATTTTTCCCTTCCCCAAAGAGTTTGCAATATAGGCAAAACACAGAATCTTTAGAGGTTGAATAAAGTAACCAGGATCTAGTGGTTTTTTCACCACTTGGAAGAATCCGTGTATAGTAAGTTTCTGAAAACTTTCTCCCTGTGTTGTCTTTTGGAAAGTCCACATTTCTTACTTGAGGTGGCTCATTCTCAACAAGAGAATCCCGCTGCTTAATATTCAAAATTCGGGGCCATGTACCTGGATCTGCAGAAAGCACAACTGATAGAAAGGAATCTTCTGATGTTTTGTCTTCCAGTTGCTTCTGAAATTCATCAGCTATGGCTGATGCAGAATAAAGTAAATTCACATTCTGCTTGTTCAGTGAATTATCTGGGCTATATTCTGTTGGAACTTGTTCTAAAGTCGTTTCTTTTTTTTCTGGTATACACTCTATTTTTTCTAAACATGTATTTAATGATCTATATAGTTTACTTTCATTTTCTTCTCCTATAACACTCCTTTTCCTTTTTTCTGATGCTGATAATGTTTCTGATTTTATTTCCATCATCTGGGGAGAAATAGTATAGTATAGATTATAATTTTATTGTAACTTTTATTAATACTTAAAAGATGCTCATTACTAGACATTAAGTAAATACAAATTAAATGACAAGGCATATCACTTTACACTTAACAGGATGGCTTTAATAAATGTGGAGAAACTAGAATTTTCTTTCGTGGGTGCCAATAAAAATATATAATAGTGCACATACTTTGAGAAAGTCTTGGAGTTTCACTGAAGTTTATGTATGAAAGTGTGGGTATGTACTTATTGATTGATTGGTTTTTGAGACACTTGAGATTGGTTTTGAGATCTCCGCTATGTAGTCCAGGCTGTCCGTGAACTCATGGTAAGCTTTCTACAATAGCCTCTGGAGTACTGGATTATAGCATGTACACCATATCCTGCTCTTCACTGCAGTTTAAGTGTAAGAGCCACCGAATGACCCAGCAGTTCCATTCTAAGACATACACTCTAAGTAATAAAAAATATATATTTACACAAAAACATAAATATTCATAGCAATCCTTTTTGTGGCAGGCACTAGGAATTGAACCCCATATTTATTTCATATAAATAAAGGGCTTTCAGTTAGAGTAGCTTTCATATAGAGTAGCGGCTTTCTAAAGAGCAGCAGTACATCTTTGGTATTTTTAAATTTTTTACTTTCAGACAAGGTCTCACTGTGGCACTACATTCTCTAAGATGGGCCCAAACTCACAGCTCTCCTACGTTAGTCTCTAGAGTAGATGGATTACGAGCATACGCCACTTGTGCAATAATAGCAACTACTTCTAATGGTAAAAATGCAATAGATAATCCTGTAGTATATAGTTAAAGTAAACATGCAAAATATGGAGAGATCACCATTTCAAAAGTTATTATTGTTAATATTCTCATGCTGGTGATAAAGCCAGGGAGCTTTATCACTGAGCTACAACCTTAGTCTTTTGAGACAGAATCTCACAGAGTCACTAAATTGCTGAGATTTGGCTCAAATTTGCAATTTTTCCTCTAGCCTCCCAGAGTGCTAGGAGTGAAGGTGGGTACCACCACCCAGCTATTTCAGGAATTTTTTTTGTCTTTTTGAGACAGGGTCTCACTGTGCTGTTCAGGCTGGCCTTGAGCTCATTTTGTAGCCCAGGCTGGTCTCGAACTCACAATGATCCTCCTGCCTCAGCCTCCTGAGTGCTGGGATTTACAGGCATGAGCCACCACGCTCAGCTTTATTTCAGGAATCTTTAACACTTTGTTCATCATTTATCGTTTGTAATAAATAAATTTATCGTTAAAAAAGTACATGTAGATTTAAAGTAGAAAGTGAACATTTACCATAGAAGAATAATTTGAAGATCAGAAGTGTGTTATCTTTTCTTGTGATGTCAGATTAACATTATATTCAAAACAGAATGGCAGCCGCATGTGGTGTACACCTGTAATTCCAGTACTCAAGAGGGTGAAACAGCACGATCTATGAGTTCCAGGTCAGCCTGAACTACAGAGCAAGACCCAGGTTCAAGGCTGGTCCGAAGGTAGTGAGTTATCTCAATTGATCGTTCACAGTCAGTACAGATTGAACTCCTTGTTCTATTCTTTCCCCGCTTCTCACTACTGCATTTGACTAGTCTTAAAAAAAAAAAAAAAAAAAAAAAAAGACCCAGGTTCAAAAACAAAAAAAACCCAAAACAGAATGCTTAGACCAAACTGCCATATCTATAAGAAATTCAATCTTGACTTGAACATTTTGTTGCCATCCACTGCAATCTACTGTATGTACCACTTTGAATGAAAATCCATGAGATGTGAACAGCATCCATGCTATTATCAGACTATACAACAACACAACTTTATTCTTTTGCAGTTTGAGAATTGAACCTTTGCACTGAGCTATATTCCTAGCCCTTTCATGAGCTCACACTTGCCAGGCAGTTACTGTGTTACTGAGTCATATCCCTGCTTCTTATTTTGTATTTTGAAACAGGTGTCACTATGTTGCCCAGGCTGGGTTTAAACATGAAATCCTTGTACCTCAGACTCCCAGCATGTGAGGAGTACACATGTAAACTACTCTGTTCTTCTTTTTTTGAGACAGGTTTCGCTACATTATTCAGGCTGGCTGTGAACCACTATGCAGCCACATTGGTCTCCAAGTCACAATGATCCTCTTGCTTTAGCCTCCTGAGTGCTGGGATTACAGATGTGTGCCATCATGCATAGCTTTCCTATTTTTATTTTTATTTATTTATTTGGTACTGGGGATCAAACTCATCTATTTTTATTCTTTAAACAGGATTTTACTATCTTACTCAGGTTGAATTGGAATGCACCATTTTCCCATCTCAGCCTCCCAAGTAGCAAGGCATGTGCCACTACAATTCTGAAAGCAATGTGGCAACAGTGAAGTTAAGAAAAAAAAAAAAAAAAAAAAAAGCAATAGAATGATATGATTAACCCATACTTTATTTATTTATTTATTTATTTATGGTACTGGAGATTGAACTCACAACCTCGTGCTTGCCAAGCAGACATTTGTGCCACTAAGCTAAATTGGCGGCAATTGGCCCATAAATTGGGCATGGTGCTACACGTCTTCATCTAATAATTTGTGAGGCTGAGACAGAAAGATACTGAATTTGAGGCCTTCCTAGGAAACTTAAAGCAAGCAAAAGGTCAATGTGGAGTACAAAGCAAGACCTCTTCTTTCTCAAACAAATAAAACATACACATATTCTCTTATTACAAGTTTTCAATAGTAAGAAAGCCAGACCTGAGGTACAGATCAATTAGTGAACTCTGGTGGTAATTCTGACAAGAGATGATGGCATCTATATATAGGATTATAGCAGTAAAGATAAAATCAAGGGGAAAAGAGAATTTTAGGATTAGAATCTGGATTAGTGAAGGGGGGCCTAAAGAAGAAAATTAACCAGGTGTGGCGGTGCACACCTAAAATCTCAGCACTCAGGTGTGAGTTCAAGGCCAACCTGGGCTACATAAATGAGTTCAAGGCCATCCTATATTTCATAAGCAAGACCCTGTCTCAAAAAAACCAATACATCCCTTACCAAAAAAAAAAGAAGGAAAAAAGAAAGTAAGTTAATAAGTTAAAGAATCACTGAGCATCTGATGGGATGCTGGGGTTTTATACTGCTATGTGAAACAGAGGAAAAGCAGGTTTGAGGGTTAATTTAAACATGGAGAATCTGAGACAGTTATAGAACAGTGGTGGCAAACCTTTTAGAGCTTTAATGATAACAAATAGCACAAAGGGGTATCGTGCCATTGGTTTGCCACCACTGCTTAAAATATTCCAATGGAAATTATGAATGGATATGTTTATCTATAGTTCCATAGGTGGTATAATCTTTTGGGTTACCAGGACTACACTGAATACAGTGGAGCTGTCTTATGCTACATATAGTTTAACTGGTTACAAAGCAATTCATTTAAAGACATTTATTATAACATTAAGAAATATGGCAAGTGGAAAGAAGAAATATAAACTGGAAATATACATAAACTGGAAATATACACTTGGGGTTGTCATGTCTTACATGTAACTCCCTCCCCCCCAATAGCGGGATCATAGGTGTCTAATACTAGATTAGTATACTAATTTGTTTAGCATCCTTCTGGGTGGGGGTGAGGACTTACTAAACAAGGAAGACCCACCTTGGATGTGGGTGAAACCAACCTAGAGACTTGTACCTAAACAGAAAGGGAAAGAAAAAGCATGACTCACTTATCTGCATGCCGTGAACTGTTTACCTTTTACCACACCACCTTGCTTTGCAGCCAGCAGACTATGGACTGAAACCTCTACAGACTGTGAGCTAAAATAAACCCATCATCCTTTAACTTGTGGTTGTCAGGTGTATTGTCCCAGTAATGAGAAAGTAAGAGAGAAGACCTCAAAGTATGTTAACTGAAGCTACGAGACTGGATATGACTACTGTATTATAGCAAATCAGACATACAAAAAAATAGGACTGCAGTGTTTTGTAATAAATAGGGAATTAAATTGTTATAGTTCTCAGTAGAGGTATTCCCCAAATATATGATGGGTTCCACATTTTAGTTTTCTCAACAATTAAATGAGAATATTAACTATGCCTCACTAGGTAAAGATGATTAAATGAAAAAATACATGTAAAGCTGTAGGTATTGGGCACCAGAGAAATCATAATAGCTATTATTACTGAACACATTATGTAGATATTTTTACTTAGCAATTACTGAATATGTTCAGTAGAAAATAACTGATGTAAAAAAAAAGACAAGACTTGCTGATCAGCTATGTCACAGTCCAAAGGTTCATGTACCTTCTGCCCTATGCTAAGTCGCTCCTATCCCAGTCACTAACGTACTTTGTTTGAGGACACTTATGTGAGCTTCTTTGCAAAAAAGTTCAATGATACTAGAATGGCTAAAGTGAAAAGACTACCTGAATCTGGACAACATAAGACATCAAAAAACAAAAAATGAAAAAACAAGCAAACAAAACCAAATCTCAAGTTAACTAGAAAGTTAACACGGTAGAAAACATGACATTTTATAATCTAACCTCATTTTAATCTCACAAGTGCCACAGGTGATTTAGTCATTTCTTACACCAAAACTTAAGTTTGGGGCAGGGAATTTAGCTCAGCAGCACAAGCAGCTTCTTTCCATGTGAGATTGTTTGATCCTTGGTACCAAAAAAACCCAAACAAAACAGAAAAACAAACCTCCAAAACCAAAAAAACTTGTTTCTTAGGGAGATGAGGTGTATGTTTACTCCTCCAGGCTGACCTAGCTACTTGCTATATATAGCTCAGACCGGTTTTGAACTCACAGTTAGTTGAGGTTGGCTTGAACCCTGAACTCAAAATCCTTCTTACTCAGCTTCCAGAGGGCTGGAATTATAGATGCTAACATACTCATCTTAGTGTATCTTTAACATTAAAAAATTAAATATACACTTAAGGATCAACTAGTTACATGAATTAATTAAAACAAATAGCAATTCTTTTGATCAAACTCACGACCTTGCGCTTGCAATGCAGGCACTTATGCTATGAAGCTGAATCTCCAGCTTAGCTGATTTTTGTTTTTTCTGTATGTGCTAAGGCAAGTACGCTCTGAGTGATTTTCCCAGGCCCTTAGCTGACTCTTCTGGTGTTTATCACTAAAGTTTTAGTTTATTTATTTTTGGTCTTTTTGAGAAAGATCTCGATATGCAGTTCAGGCTGGCCTTGAGCTCACTTTGAGGTCCAAAGTGATCTCGAACTTGCAACAGTTCTCCTGTATCAGCTTCCCAAGTGCTGGGATTGCAGAAGTGTACCAGCATGCCCTACTCACTGAATCTTACAGTAGCGTATTTGTATCACTACTGATTTTCCTCCCCATCTGTATTTGAGTTATTTTGAGACAGGCTTATGGTACCATAATTCAGGCTGGCTTTGAGCGAATATGTAGTTAAGGCTGACCTGAAACTCATGTCAATCCTCCTGCCTCAGCCTCAACAGGGATTAGAGTCATTGTGAGTCACCATGCCTAGCTGGTCCTTCTCAGCTTTAAGTACCACAAAATGACTCACCAATGAGGAAGATGGAAATTTAGCTGTTCCTCCCTCTCCAGTCTCATTCCCAGGCTACCAACTTACCCTTTAGTTTTAAGATTTCTTGGACAGGATAATGATTTGTTGTGAAGGTCTGTCATATGTACTACAGGATGTATAGCAGCAAAGCTGGTCTACATGCACTAGATGCCATCAGCACTCGCAAAGCTTTGACAGTGACAAAATGTGTCCAGACACTGTCAAAGGTCCTCAGAGGAACCAAATCAACTCTGGTTGAAAACCAGTGGCTTAACCAAGGTTCAGTCTTTCCATTTGATGACTGTGTATGTTATTCACTCAGTAACTAACAGTACTAACAGTAAGCTAAAAGTAAATCACGAACAAGCAATCAGGACGCCCTGGGAGGCCAAGGCCTAAGTGACTTAGTAAGAGTTTGTCTCACAAAAGGCCTGGGGCCAGACATGGTACTGCCAGCCCTTGGAAGGCTGAGGCAGGAGGATCATTGCAAGTTTTAGGCTGGTTTGAACTACATAAAAGACTTCACCTTTAAAAAAAGAATAAAGGATTAGGGATATAGTTCAATGCAAAGGCCTGAGTTTAGTACATGTGCTGCCAAGGTCAGCATAGCACCTGAAGTCAATCCCTAGTGCCACACAAACACAAAAGTCACTAACAGAAGTTTTTGTTCTGTGTTTTTTGGAGTCTTTTTGGTGGTAAGTAGATTAAACCCATGGCTTCACACAGGTTAGGCAAGTACTACTACTGAGCTATATCTCCAGCTCTCAGTTTAAGGTCTATTACTAAGAATTTCTTTGTTGGGCTTTTCAGAAGATCTGCCATGAATCACTTCAAAATACTCATGTGTGGAGAGTTGGAGGCTTTTTATAAAACATCTATATTATATAGAAATACAAGGAATACACCTGCCAACCATCTGTGAGTGTACCTTGTACTACTGCAATAGGAACATAACGATTGGACTACTCCCAAGCTATCAGGCAGTAGTATTCAAAATCTGGATATACTGCTCCTACCTGACTTTACTATTTATATTCCTGATTTTACCTTCTTCTGCTGTCCATTTAGGAGTAAAAAATTGTAATCTATGTGAAAGCTTGGTTCTTTTCAGGTAATTTCATTCTATCTGAAGTTTTCTATCTGAAGTTCTTTGTCCTAAAGCTTGCAAAAACTCAGGAAAAGGTAAATCATCCATTTCAAAAAAATTTTTAAAAATTTTAAAACATTAAGACATCACCAAATTTAAAAAAAAAAAGACACTGCCAAATTACATTTAGTATGCACTACTTTGAAAGGTAACTTTAATAGATCTTTTTTTTTTTAGTACCAGTTATTGATCCCATGTGTTCTATCACTGAGCTACATCCTCCAATCACAGCCCTTTTTCTTTTTCTGTTTCTTTTTTTGTCCTGGGAATCAAATTCAGAAACTTGCATTTGCCAGGCAGGCACTCAGCTGCTGAGCTGTATCCCAGGTCCAGCCCTTGTTGAGACAAGGTCTTACTAAGATGCTCAGGCTGGCTTTAAACTCAACATCCTCCTATGTTAGCCTCTCCAATAGCTGGAATCACAGGCATGTGCCAACATAACAATCTGATGTCTATTTTTTATTTTTGGTATAAAGGTCTTGCACAGCTAAGCCTGGCTTCAAATTTGCAACCTCCCTGCCTCAGCCCCCTCTCAGTGTTGGGATGATAGGGTTTACGCCACCATAACTGACTCTGATGTCTACTTTTTGTCTATTTTTAACAGAACAGCTTTTTAAACAAAAATGCTTTGTTTACTATTATATGTAGTACACATAACTAAGATACATAAATGTTTCTAGCAAAAATAACTTAAAAGTCAACTATGGGTATTCCATTATTTTGTCTATTCAGTAAACCTAGCACACTGGGGTTACTTTTTCCTAAAGCTAATCACTTAAATCTCTACTGGTGAAATAGGGGTTAATATCCCTAACTTTATGCTTATGACCCATGTCAAATTATTATCTATGTATGGATAACATGAAGTCAAAGTTCATTTGTTTCCACACAGACAAAAGGTTTGCCGGGTGTGGTGGTTTATGTAGGCAATCCCAGTATTCAGAAGACTGAGGAAAGGAGGATCCCAACAAGTCTGAGGCCAGCCTGCGGTACATAATGAGTTCAAGGTCAACCTGAACTACTTAGTGAGACTCTCAAAAAACAAGAGCAAAAAAACCCAACAAAGAAGCCAACTGCCAAAAAACCCCAACAAAATAAAGCTTCTTGGAAAAATAACTTCCTAACTCTTCTGGGCACTAAGATTCCTTTGACAGGACACAAAAAAGTGTTAATTAGAAAAATATGCAAACAGTAAGTTGAATTTTATTAAATTGAAAAGTATATAAAGAAGTCTTTGCCCAGTGTAGTGGCACTCTGGAAAAGTTCAGGCAAGTTTGAACCCAGCCTCACTTAGTAAGACCCTGTTTCAAAATCAAAACCAGAGGGCTGGGGATTTAGCTCAGCGGCATAAGCGCCTGCCTTGCAAGCAGGCAGCCCTGGGTTCGATCCCTGGTACCGATAAAAAGGAAAAAGTTAAAAAAAAAAAAAAAAAATCAAAACCAAATCAAATCAAAAGGGGCTGGGTATAGCTCAGTTTCAAGGCCCTGGGTTCAATCTCCAGTACAACAACAAAGAATTCCTATAACTCAACAATTAGATGACCCTCCTTCTGGAAAAATAAATTTCATGTGTAATAAATAAGGCAAGCCTCATTTATAGAAAAAAAAAAAAAAAAAGATAACCCAATTTGAACCAGGTATGGTGGTGGTCTCAGCTAAATGGGACGGGAGACCTGCCTTGAGCCTAGGTCTATGGGAGGGAACTTATTGCACACATGCTGCTGTGGGCACACAGAGCTATCTCCGTCAGTATGTGAGCCAAGTCACCCCAACATCACCTAAGCAGCCGAGCGCTGGATATTCAGGTTTAATTGCAGTGTTGGCACTTTGAGATAAGTGGCTTTTGAACCCCAGTTTGGGCATTCGGTATTTAAAAGGTTCACAATCACTGGTACAGTAGAGTTTGAGGCTGGCTTGTTAAAACAGTAAAACAGTTATCTCAAAAAAAAGAAAAAAAAGAAACTATTTAAGTCCTACAAAAACTGAGTAAATGTTTAAAAATCTTTCTGACAACAGAGTATAAATTTCAATATTTATCCAAGCTGGGTCAATGTTAATGACAAAATGGAACTGGAGTTCTAAGACCAGTCTGGGTAATGTAGGCTAACAGGGTAAAACTAATATGTAACTTCATCAATTAAAGTTCATTAAAAAGAATTACCTGTTTATATTCATTAATACAACTCTGGCAGCAAAACCTCTTCTGCTGACCTCCAATCAGGAGATTGTTTCCCATATTTTTGTCAGGCATGTACTCTCCACACTGTTCACAGCAGTTCATTTTTAGACCATTGACCAACCTGTACTTATTAAAGCAATGGTTACTGCACAGCTTGTGAGTTACATTATTAACACTGACTTCATGGCGAACCTAAAAGAGAAACCAAAATTTATTAACTAAAATACATAGACCAGGTTGTACAAATATCTGAAATAGATAGTTTCTGCACTAGAAACAAAGAACTACTAGTAATTATGTCAGTAAAAGAAATATTCAGGAGAAAGATCAGAATCCTATCCCTTGTTTTTTCACTTTTTTCTTAAATATTTTTGTGAAATGAAGATTTATTAAAAAATAATAAAGTCAATATTAACTTCCTTGATTTGTTTAGAATGACACAAAATCAACCGCTTGTGGTATGACATGCTTACAAGAAACAGATTGAGAAGTCTACATGAAGCTCACTGCCCTAGAATACTTGTGGGAGAAAATCAATATTCTCCACAATCAGTAAAATGGCTCTTAAGGTGATAACAGAGAAAATTGTGGTCTTAATATGCACAACTCTGTGGTTACTAACACCAAATTTAGTTATCAAGGACACTGTAAAATGAGGACTGCCTGAATGTATATTTTTTCCTCTCTTACTAGTATGACTGTGACACCAATTGAATAAAATGAAGAGAAGAGAATGAATTCATTCTACTCGCTGTTTTTTAATTAGGATCTGTTGTTTCCTTCATGTATTAAAAATACTACTTTTCTAAATTTTTGCTGTACTGGGGATTGAATGCAGGACCTTCTAACTGTGCTAAATTGCTCACACTATTTTGTATTCTGGAAGTGAGTCTCAATAAATTGCCTAGGATGGAGTCAAACTTGCAATCTTCTTGCCTCAGCTTTCCAGAGTGTTGGGATTATAGGTACAGGCCATCAGGTCAGCTCTGAAACTGTAGTTAGTGTTGCTGACATGAACAATTCCACCTTAAAACTACTCCTTTTTTATTACTACTAATAGTATAGAAAAAAATGGGCTTGCTGAGATGGCACACATCTGTAATCCCTGCAATTGGGAGGCTAAGGCAGTAGGATCATTGTGAGTTCAAGGGCAGGCTGGCACAGTAAGAAACAAAACAAACAAACAAAAAAAGAAATGTAGCCAGGGATTTAGTACAGTGGCATAAGCGCCTGCCTGGTGAGAGTGAGGTTGTGAGTTCGATCCCAAGTACCAAAAAACAAAACAAAACAAAAAAGACAAAATGTGTACATTTCAGACTATGCAAATGGGCTATTTGTTAATAAAACAGTTCTCACATATCCTTATTTTACCTTTTTAGCTTCGTGGCATACATTTGAAATATGCACATTATCCAATGACAGAGCTTACATTACTAACACTTGAAAGTTAAAATTATCAGTTAGAACAAATAACAATTTAGGTATAAAAATCCAGACCTCTGTTAGTTTACTACAGATTATACATCTTGACTTATTAAAAACTCCTTTTTTAAGATGCTGACTGTCTTCACAGAGAGACAAAGACATATTAGAAAATTCTTGAAAGGAGCTGCTTGATTCCACTGGAGGAACAACAGTAGCCTTCTTGGTGGGTGCATCTCTGAAACAGAAGGGATAGGTATGCAAGTTCAGAACATTGCTTTTTTTGGTGCTGGGGATTTAATCCAAGGCTTAGCACAAGCACTCCGCTAAAGGCAACATCCTCAGTCCAAGAACTTTGGATTTGTCATTTATTTATGATTTTTTTCTAGGAATTAACTATAAGATGCAGCAAAATCCCCTTTTAGTTTCAATGCTCTGCATTCCTAAATGATACAAAAAGAAAAGATTCTGAGGTTAAAAAAAATCTTTTTTGACACAATAACCTTGCCACAGTTCTTTAGCTTTTTAGAGACATTTAAAAATGGTGGTAGCAACTTGAGATAACTAAGGAAAAGGGCAGAGGCAAAAAGCAGTGTCAGACAGAGGGGAAATAAACTTCTATTTTCTGGACAAGAGAAAGTATGAATTAGTTCATAGCTCTGACACTATTTTAAGTTAACCCAGGTTCAATAAATTTGAGGATTCCTCTGAAACATTTCTACCCACGAATCTGCAATTACATTTCCTTATATGCTAATATTCAATCATATAGAAAATAATTGAAAGTTACCGCTTACTTTTTACGTATTATATTTCGTGTCTTTCGAGTACGTTTATGAGAGAAAGAAGAAAGGCAAGTAGTTGAACAAAAGAGGTGAGCTGATCCTTTCCGCTGGTAAGCTGTTTGCCCCTTCTGTAAAGGGTTTTTGCAGTTTGCACAAGTGATTTTAGCTGGTTTAATAGGTTGCTGTTGGGCAGAAGGCTGAAAAATCTGTTTAGGAAGCGAGGCCACTGGTGATGAAGAATCCACCCCTGACTGTTTCTGATTACGGGGAAATGATGCTGACTGGGAGATCCAAGAATCTGAAAAAATGAGACACACACAAAAAACTCATGGACTAAATCAAAATTTACATCAGAAAAATATTTTAAGTTTTCATTTAAGAGTTTAAAGAGGCAGCCATACAAGAGACGACTGAAATATATGGTGAATGCCTCAATTAAAAAATTATTACAATAGAAGACACATTACTATTAAGCCTTCCCAAACACTTCCTTTGGTTTGGATATACTTTTCCCATTATTCATGCCATTCTCTGAAGCAGTCCTAAAAGCCCTCTTTATGACATCTTTAGGAGGTGTGAATGGCACTGCTGATTGCCATCCAACACAAAGATGGGCCCATGAAAACATTAGTGTCCTCACCCTCCTTATTCGCTGTACCTGGCATATGCAACTTCTAGCTCTTCATCCAAGTCAAAATGACCATGAAAGGCAAAGTTTCTGAATCAATTAAGGACACTGAGGCAGCCATGAAAGTACAACTAAAGACACTCACAGAAGGGGGCTTGCAGTACTACCTCAGAAAGTGACAAGAACAATGGGTTTTTGTGAAGCAAGATGGGTATGTTAAGGGGGATTAATGGCAAGGTATTTTTCACTAATACAATTTCTTTACATACTACTATATGTAGTTAGTCTTGATGAATAATCCAGAACTATACACTCTGTATTCCAAGGAAACAATATTTCATTGTGCAATAATAAAACAAATGCTAGCCCTCGTAACCACAATGTAGTAGCCAGCCACTATTAAGTCAGACTCCTCATCTTGAAAATGTGTTTCCTGGCCTGGGGGATGAGGCTTGGTGCCTGCGGAGCTTGCCCAGGGCCTGGATTCTGGATGATGCCAGTATTCAATGGTGTCACCCCAAACGGTGTTTTCTTGAATTAACTTGATTATGTGTTTACATTAGGTTTTGTCTGCTCTTTTTTGGGTGGAGGAGACTGAATCTAGGGTATGCAAGGAAAACATCTACCACATTCCCAGCCTGTTGTGTTTTCTTTTAGCTATAAGAAAGTTAGCAGTTATTTATCACTATAAGAAATGAACATGTTAATGCATTTAATCATGAAACACTGTGTGCACATGAGACATTGAAAATCTATCAGACACCTTTTTTCCTAACAGAAAAATATATCTATAGAATAAAGCAAAGGATATGAAAAACACACATAACTACAGTGAAAGCTTGGTGATCTAGGACTTTTGAGAAATGTGCTAAGTCTGGTAGTTTATATATGATACTTATGAAAAACTAAAAGCATACACAGAAGTTGAAAATGTTTTTATACCTAAAACCCATATAAAGCCAGGCACAGTGGTACACACTCAAGAGGCTGAAGCACAAAGATTACTGTGAGTCCAAAGCTAGCAAAGCTACAAAGTGAGTTCAAGGCCAGTCTAAACTGCATAGTGAGACCCTGTCTCAAAAAGACAAAAAGCAAACAAATAAACAAACAAAGAACCTGTCCCTCCAAAAACCAAAACCCATATACTCACCAACTGGATTCAACACCTGATTCTGTTTTGTCATATCTTACCATCTATTACTGTCTTAACAATCAATCTATCATCTATGTGTACCAACAAAACTGTAGACCTTAGTATATTTCCTTTCAAAAAATGGACATTAATACTTTCATTCTACAATTATCCCACTCAGCCTTCTAGAACACTATTCAGGGCTGGCGTTCTAGCTCAGTGACACAGTGCCTGTCTGGCAAGTGCAAGGTTCTCAGTTCAATTCCTGGTATCAAAGGGGAAAAAAAACAAACCCAAAGAACGAAAACCCAAACTATTCATAAGCATTTATATGGGGGGTAGGTTATCTAGGACAGACACACATTTCCTAACCTTACATATATTCTATATTATTATTCATACACTATTGTATTCTCAAGGTGATTAGAGCATTAAACATAGGTGAGTGTCTCTGCAATTTTAACATGCATATGAAGTCACTTAAAAGTCTTGTTTAAAACAGACTCTCAACTGATTAGGCTGAGGAGGGACTGAGATTCTATGTTTCTAATCAAATCAGGTAGACAGTGAAGCCTCAAACAGGGCTCTGATACAGCACTAGGCCCTGAGTTTTTTCTCAGCACTTAAGGGGGAGGGCAAGGAAAGATAGGCAGGGCCATAGCCAGGAGCAGTGTATGCCTGTAACCCCAAAGGACTGTTACAAGTTTGAGGCTAGCCTGGGCTGCACTGCAAGAATCTGACTCAAAAAAGAAAGAAAAAGAGGAACCTAACAAATAGAATAACCAAATAAACAACAAAAGGCATGCATTCATTTTTCAGGATGACATGCTGGCAAATCTTGAGTATTTCTAAATAAACTTACTGTATTAAAGAGAATGTTTCCTTCTTGGTTTATTTTTGTTTTCATGTGATACTGGGCTATAAACCCAAGAGTTCTCACAGACTAGGCAAGCACTGTACCAGTGAGCTACATCCTCTTAGCCTCAATTTTTCCTGGTTCATAATTATTCCATTAGTAAAAAACTGCAATGCTGATCCATTCCAAACAAAACAGAAAGTACACATTCATGCACAGAACACATAATCTAGGATAACTTTCTGTGCATCAACCTGATGGCAAACTAGGCTTAACAAATATAAGTAAAAGCAAAACATTACAAGACTTGTCATTACAATCAGTATGAGAAGCACTGGAGAAATAAAACCTTCCCCAAAGGTGGTTTAGTTTTGTGGACTTATCCAAAATTAGAAGGAATATATTTATATATGACTGTAGTGTGTGTTGTTGAAAATAGAAAACAAGGCCTCCCACATGTCAGGAAAATACACTACCATTGAGCTGGATTCTCAGTCTCTAGGTATAATTATAGAAAATTAGCCACCAACTATACTGCTCAACACATGGTTTTGTTTTTTTTGGAACATGGCTTTGTATGTAGCCTGTGCTGTCCTTGAACTCACATCTATCTGCTGCTGCCTCCATCTGCCGAGTGCTAGAATTATAGGCAAGTGCCACCCATGCCTGTTTTTATTTAGCCTTGTCATATGCATAAATTAAATCTATCCTTTATTTATACTTCAACTATTTAATTTTTCCTAATTCAAGTTTCTAGAAAAGAAAGAGCCTAGTCAGGTATGGTGGCACAAGACTGCAATCCCAGTAGTCTGTGAGGTTAAGGCAGGGAATCACAAGTCTGAATCCAGCCCAGGAAACTAAGCAAGACTCTGCCTCAAAATTAATCATTTTATCTCCAGTGTCTTAAAAAAAAAAAAATCCACTGGGGGATGGAGGTTTAGCTCAGCGGCATAAGCACCTGCCTTGCAAGCAGGCGGTCGTGAGTTCTATCCCCGGTACCGATAAAAATGAAAAAGACCAAAAAAAAAAAAAAAAAAATCCACTGAATGTTACCTTTTTAAGTGCAGGAAACTGAACACAGTGGCTCATGCATGCATGCTAGGTAGGCATGCACTCTACCATTCAAAACATGCTGAAACAGAGGCTACATATCAGTCTAAATCCTTCAATTTATTGCAGACAAAATTAAGACCAAAAGTCCATTAAGTATGAAATAGGTCCACTATTTAACTCTAGTTGTTCTTCATGGCTTGTTGCAACTAAATTCTGCCTAAACCCTTTTAGTACATCTTTAGGATTGATCTGCTACTGAGTTCTCAGTGCTTCCACATTTTTTCTGTTGTTTTATACTGATTCTGTATCCCATAAATATGTAGAATTACTGTATGTTACCAAAAGACTGAAAAAAATATAATGAACTACATCCTACAAAGTTGTACTTATCATGAAAGGCAAGTGTGACTTAACCTATTTTTTCATAAAATTTATTGTTGTAATTGTTTTAATATAGGACATTTTACTTGATGCTTAAAAGGAACTCATGTACTTGCAATTATTCTGCTTTGGTCTCCTGAAGTGCTAGGAGTACAGGAATATAATATACAGACACACAAATCTTAAGAACAAAAGATTTTTTTTTAAATAAATGCACAATTATCTCCAGATACACAAAATATTTCTAGTATCTCAGTTTTCCTAATTGCCTTGTCAGTCAGCAATTCTATTCTCATCTGATAAAGTCACCTGTATTTTGATTTTTTTCATTGAAGATTAGTTTTAAACTTTACACTCACAAAATCATACAGTATATACTTTTTTGTTTAGTTTCCTTAGCCCTATTATTCTGTTGGTGAGGTGCAAGCTCATTGCACATAGGAAGTTTTGATTTTAGGTTGTGCTGAGAATGGGACTCTACCACTGAGCTACATTCCCTGAAATTGTTTTTCATGATTTCTGAGTATTGTATTATATGATTAATTGGGATGGGAGGGAGGATGGGGAACTGAACTCAGGACCTTGTGCTTGCCAGGGAGGTGCTTGTGCTCCTGAGCTATATCCTTATGTCCCTGGTCCTGTAAGTCTCATGTTATTATCCTACTGTGCATAAACATTTGGATTTTTTTTTTGGAGAGTGTCCTGCAATGTAGTTTGGGCTGGCCTTGAAATCACTATGGAGCCAAAGTTGGCCCTGAACTTGCAGTGATGCTCCTCAGACTCCCATGTGTAGGGATTATTGGTCATTTTTTGACTATAATTTTATATATGGCTTTTTTGGGTGCTGGAGATCAAACCTAGGTCCTTAAGGTGGGTGTTATGGTGCATAATTGCATCCTTAGTACTCAGGGAAGCTAGAATGGTGGGTAGAAACTTAAAATCCCAGATTGGACAACCTGGCAACTTAGAGAGCCTTGTCTGAAAAATTTAAAAAGGGCTGAGAATGTAGTTCAGTGTAAAGGTCTTGGGCTCAATCCCTACTACTGCCTTGGCCCCAAAAAGGCAGCCTAGGGCCTTAAACACACTAGTTATTACTTTTATATGAAAAACAAAAAATCCTGAGGCCCTGGATAAAGTTTGTATTCCAATTTGAAGACTGGAAGATTCTAAGAGCACTCCTCTTTGTGGCTCCCCAAGGAGACTAATGAAAAGTCTGGCTTTTAGCACCCTTTTCTGGAAATAAATTATATGAACAAGGGAAAAGCAGAGCTTCAAGTACTAGAATTATTCAGAAGTTTCTTAGCCCTAACTTTTCTCATTATAATTGTAGCTATATGATACTAATAAAATACCTAAGATATATTATAAAAAGACATGACATATATAAGACACATATGTAATGATACATAACATACATAAATTTCTGTATTTTATGTATGTTGTCTTTTTTCTGCTGGTTTTCAAAAGGCAGGAATCATTCAGTTTTCAGAAGTGTGACTCCCCAGAATCAGTAATTATGGGTAGAAATGTTTATAACACTGTAGAAGTAAAACGCAGATAGCAAAGCAATTTCTTTATTTTCTGTCATGAGTTTTTTTTCTATTTATACCAGGTGAGTCCAACCCACAGCCTGCATGTGGCCCAGAAGAGTAAATAAAGCCCCACAAGATCGTGAACTTTTAATGCCACTGTGTAGTTTTTAGTGATATTTTTCACAACTTGATTGTGCAATGCTTGAATATAAACGTATAAGACATTTCTTCTTCACTCAATATGGCCCACACTGCCAGGTATGGTGGGGCATGCTTGTAATCCCAGCACTCAGGAGGCTGAGGCAAGAGGATCACCACAAGTTGGAGGCCAGCCTGGGCTACCTAGGTAGATCCTGTCTTAAAAAAAAGGCGAGGAGGGCCCTGGGATTTAGCTCAGTGGCATAAGTGCCTGCCTGGCAAGTGTAAGGTCATGAGTTTGATCTCCAGCACAAAAAAATAAAATAAAAAGCCCACACAAGCCAAACGGTCAGACATCCATGCTCTATATAAAGGTATGTGGTGAATGAACTTTACTCAAATAATTTACTCTAAAGCTTAATGAAAGAATTAAATGCCTCAAAGCTCCATTCTAGTGAATATAACTCTACTTTTAAAAAATAAAATGCATAGTTTTACATATATAATTCTTGCCCTTTTTGGTATGGGAAAACCTTCAATGTATATAAAAGTGAAACACTCAGCAAATAAAGAAAAGATTTTGACTTTAAAGAATAACAGTAATATACAATAGCAACAATATAAACACTGCTACCTTATTCTAAATTTCCAGGTCAAAGTGACTTGTTTTACTAATGATTGCACACAAGAAAAAAATCTAGGATTGTAAGACTAAGAACAGGACCCTTTTACTGCGATATATACAAAGTAAACAGAAAAATAGCAACAAAAAGATATTAAGTAACTTAATACCACTCTCCAAGTTGGGAATATAGTTTTGCCTTCTGAAATGAAGGAAAAATTACACATAGTAGTGTATCCAGAGTCTTACTGTCAAGCTGTAGGTAACAAAACTTTAAAAATCCTATTTACTCTTAATTTAAAATGTGGATATAGCTGGCTGTGGTAGCACATGCCTATAATCCTAGTACTCAGGAGGCTGAGGCAAGAAAATCACAGTGAGTTTGAGGACAGCCTTAAGCTACAAAGAGTGTTCAAGGCCAGCCTGAACTGCATAGTGAGACCCTGTCTCAAAACAAAACAAAACAAACTGGATATAGACATGAATCACTCATAACTAGCAGTATGACAAGAAAAACAATTTAAAGCAAGTTAAACTGTTATTATGTTACTTTAAGAAAGCCAGATTGGATATGGCACATGGTGGCACATACCTGTAAATCTAGCACTGTGGGAGGCTAAGGCAAGAAGATCATAAATTTGATCCCAGCCTACTTAAAAACCACCAACCAGCAAAAAAAAAAAAAAAAAAAAAAAAAAAAAAAAAAAAAAAAAACAAAGAACAAAAATGGGTAGGGATGTAGCTCAGTGCAAAGGTCCTAGGTTCAACTCTAGTACTGCCAAAAAAAGAAAATAATTGAATTTACACATTTGCTGGGCATGATACTACATGCTGGTAATCCCAGAAGGCTAAGGCAGAAAAACTGTAAATTAGAGGCCAGCCTAGGCAACTTACTAACAAGATCATGTCTCAAAATAAAAAAGGGTCTGCAATATAGTTCAATAGCAGAGCATTTGCCTAGCATGCAGTACAGGAAAAGTCAGTACTTTTATTTACTAGGTACTTCTAGAATTATTCTCTGAAGTTGTTGAATAAGTAAACTGATTTATGTTCCAGAGCCACCACGTACTCTCACATATATAGTCAAAACAACAAAAACTTTACCTGAAATACACTTTTTTTACTTGATCATTAACAAATATAAATGAGACTCCTGATATCTCAAACCACTTGTTTATTTAGTACTGATTCTATGTGCTTAGCATTTCTAACACTTGGAAAAATGGATAAAAAAGGAGGTACAATAACATGCATTTTTCCTCTTACTATTGCATGTTCACATTAATAATGTACTCTGCCTCACTGAAGGATACAATGTGAATGTCACTTTGAGCTCAGTGTGTCTAAACCTGAACCTGTCATGTTACTGTATGTACTCTGCGTATCAGTCACATTTCTTCAGTAAAATTTGTCAATTGTATTGTATTGACATTGCCGTAGAAGTGACTTATTTATAAGAAAGTTTCAAACAGCTCCCAATCACCTCATAAAAATGAATATTCTCTTTAGAATTCAGGATGAAAATAAATTTCTTTGGCATTGAACTCAGGTTCTTCACAACGAATTACATCTATAGCCCTTTTGTCTTTCACAAAGTCTTGTTGAACTACTAAATTGGTCAGGCAAGGCTTCGACTTGTAATTGTGCTTCAGTTTCCTAGAGTGCTGGGATTATACTACCATGTTTGACTCAATCTTTATATGACACACTTCTAACTTTTGTCTTCAAAAACAGACCTTTAGAGCACTTGGAAACATAGAAACGATGTAACATTAGGCTATACTTTATACATAGACAAAAATTTGTTACCATGAGCAATATACAGTAATGTATGTCTGTAACCACAGCTACTTGGAAGGCTGTGGCAGAACTGAAAACTGGAAGTTGGCCTGGGCTAAACTCTGCCTCAAATTTTTTTTTTTTTTTTTTTTTTTTTTTTTTGGTCTTTTTCCTTTTTATTGGTATGAGGGATGAACTCACGACTGCCTGCTTGCAAGGCAGGTGCTTACGTGGCTGAGCCAAATCCCCAGCCCCTGCCTCAAATTTTTTAAAATGGGTTGGGATGTAGCTCAATAGAAGAGTACTTACACAGTATGTGGGAGACCCTAGGTTCAATACCTAGTACCACATACTCATAAAAAAGTTCACTATCATGCACTTATAAAAACCAAACGTCACCTTTACTTATGGGTATTATTCTAATACTAGCTAAAATGCCTTCACATGACTCTGAGACTAAGCACTCAGAATAAGTCATCAGACCCCACAGGCTGAAAAGCACAGTCTCCAACAAAACTTTGTATACCACTTAAACTTTTGCTCAACTGGTTACAAATCTGAAAAGTTCTTAAGATCTACTACTCCTTCGTCCTTGACAAGGGTAGTAGATCTTAAGAACTTTTGCTCAGGTAACTCACAGAAGGAAAATGCTTTATACTTAAAATTTCAGTTGAATTAACAGGATATAAGTCAGGCAGGGTCCTAAATTCAGAGCTTCCAGGCCTGTTCTCTATGGAATATTAGGTAGTCATATTATTCTTCTGGAACACCAATGAATTCACCAATCAAGAGGTTAATACCGAGCTAACATCTGCAGTTTTACAGAAGTCTCACTTTATAGGCACAACTGATCTAGCCACTGGCAATGTGACTAAGCCCAATTTACAGTTTGCCTTCCCTCCCAGTGTTTGGGCTAAAAATCCCCAGTTCTCTGCTCACTTCGTTGATCCATCTCAAACTATCACATTACTTAGGATGAAAGCAAAAGACATTTCTAAAACTTGGAAAAATTAAGAATTTAGATTCTTCCTCCCAGGAACTGTGGACAAAGGGTATTAACAAAAACAAAAAACAAAACAAATGCCCAATTGTGGTTGTAATAGCTTTAAGGTCTATTACATTTTAGATATGGCCAATATCTCCAACTTTTACAGACCAAATAGACTGCACAGTTGTATTAAGTAAAACATAAAAACAAAAGATAGATAAAATCATTCAGATGGTATGTAAATAAATGTTATGAGTATAAACCAGGTGTGGTAATCCTAGCACTCTTGAGGCAAAGGCCAGTCTGGGCTACTTGGTGAGCTCAAGGCACGTAACAGGACTCTGTCTCAAAAAATCAAAACCAAAACCTAAAGAACAGCTATGAGTTTATTTACTTGAGGTAGAAGGCAAGTATCACTTACTGCTTACCAGGATTATGTTGAGTCGTGAGTCCTCCATTCTGAAATACATCTCCTGCCACATTCATCCTACCAGGATTAAAAGGTCCTACTCCAGTCTTGGTCTGTGAAGTTAAAGATGGGGTGTATGTTTGCATATTAACACCAAAATTACTTGACTGCAGTCCGTTAGAGACATCTCCCAAGTTGGCATTCTATAGTGTTGTTACAAAGTGTGATTAAGTTCATATCTCGCCCAGCATTCAGAGCTTACACCTGTTTCTAATGCTGTAACATTAGTAATACGCATTTCAGAGTCTGGTTCTGTAGTGATAACACTAGTACCCATTCCTGCATTTACCTTACTTCTTGGGCGACTGGAAGTAGAGAAATCCAAATCTTTGGTACTGTCTTTAGTTCCAGGAAATCCCCACTCAGTAAAACCAGATGAATTTTTTTTCTCCCTTCCATTTGTTTCTATGTCCTCTTCATCATCAATAACAATTGTCTCACACGTATTTCCTTTCTGAGAAGCCAAATCTCTTGAGAAAGGCAGAATTACGGAAAAATTTCCTGGTGGCTTTTCATGTTTTGAGGATGTAAATACAAAGTCTCTTTGATCAGCTATTGCTGAAGCAGAAATTGAAGGAGGTTGTATAGATTCAATAAATACAACATCATCATCATCTTCCACTGATGGGTTTTTAGATCTACTGACTAAAGGACTAGTGGGATCACCACATGAATTTGCTACGTCCATGAGATGAGCTGTCATGGCTGCACTCCCTAATGCAGCAGGAGTGTGGTCAGTCAAGTCAAATCTTCCCATTGATGGTTCATCCATGTCAAACAACCTGTAAGAGACCCAAAAAAGTAAAAAAGAAATTATTACTTTGTTTTACATTGTGTCACAAAGAAATAAATAGCACAGGCAAAATTTTACATCTTTCTTTTGGTGGGTTAAGACTGGCCTCAAACTTGTGGTACTCCTGCCTCAGCCCTCTGGAAATAGGATTATAGGCCTGTGCCCCACTGGGTCTCATTGTGTAGCTCAGGCTGGCCTCAAACTTTCAAACACTCTCCTGCTTCAGCCTCCCTGGGATTATACCCATCTGTCATCATGCTTAGATAAGACTTTTTTATTAAGCCGGGCGTGGTGGCTCACACCTGTAATCCCAGCACTGAGGCAGGAGGATCACTGAGAGTTTGAGACCAGCCTAGGCTACAAAGTGAGCTCAAGGCCAGCCTGAAATACACAGCGAGATCCTGTCTCAAAAAAAGACAAAAGACTTTTTTTTTTAAACTAGGAACCACAGTTAGGACTTTGTGGTTGCCAAGCGGGTTGCCATGCTGTTGAGCTATATCACTGGCCAAAAGTCTTTTCTTTATGTGACTTATTTCAACTTTTAGAGAAAAACTTGATACTCATTCTGCTTTTCTTTTCCTCTTTATTTTCCTGTATTAAAAACCATTTAAAATTTACTTCAATGGAGTTTGATGGAAATTTATTATACAATCTTTGGTAATCTTTCAAAAATATCTGTTCAATTTATAGTACTTATAACATCAGCATTTATAGTGGAAAAAAAAAAAAAAGCCCTAACCTCCCATTGAATTAGAAAGGGTAACAAACATTGTATTAAGTATCCATAACCTGGAGAGCTAATTATAATGACAATCGTCTGTCCTCATTGGTTTTCCAAATTGCTTCCAATACAATTGTGATTATGTCTAAATCTTTCTTGTCCTTGTCCAGGAATCTAAAGTCCCTCTGTATTAGATATTATGCTATGAACATTTTATGTACAAACTCAGAACATGTTAATAATCGGTATAAATTACATTTTAGGGATCAAAAAATTGAGATTTAGAGAAGCAAACTAAACTGTTCCAGATAAACCTAAATAGGAATTAAATTCAGGACTCTAAGTCCAGGCCACAAATTCTTCCCTTTTTTTTCTGAAACAGGGTCTTGCTAGGTAACACAGACTAATTTGAACTCACTATGGAGACTAGCCTGGCCTTGCACTAACTCAGGATCCTCCTGCTTTACCCTGGGTTTGGGGGCATGTGCCACTATGCCCAGCAGGGCCATATTCTTTTTTATTGTTGTTGTTACAGAGAATCTGAACTCAGGACTTTGCACTGCCCAGGCAGATGCTGCTGAGCTGTAACCACGGTGAGAGGGCCATAAATTCTTCACTACTTGTTATACTCAACAAACATTGTATTGAGTTTAGTGACATACACCTGCAAGCTTAGCAGGCTGAGACATGACAATCACTGTGAGTTTAAGGTCAGTGTAGGTTACAAAGTGAGTTCAAGACTAGTCTGAACTATACATAGCCAAGACACTGTTTTTAAAAAAAGCACCTCTTTTTTTAAAATTGATACTGGGGATCGAACTCACGACCGCCTGCTTGCAAGGCAGGTGCTTATGCCACTGAGCTAAGTCCCCAGCCCAAAAAAGTACCTTTTATACAGTATGCCATGATGAAAAGTGGGATGCAGAGAAACAGTTAAAGAATCTAGAGAACCGAATAACTAAAAGAGTGAAGCTCTTGAGCAAATGAGAATTGAAGGCATACATAGGTAGTCAGACATAAAGTCTACATCTTTTAATAGCAAAAAGGCAAACTAAGTAAAAATAAAATGTAAGTACGCAGAAATGAAAGATGGAAAATTGAGGTAGCCTATATATTGCTAGCCTTAAATTTCTCAGGATAGAAAATTAAAAGGTATAGGGGACGTCAAAGTTGCGGCAGTTGTCCTCATTGTCATATACCCACAACACTCTTTTGTTATGAAATCATGTATTTTACCATACTATATCATCTTCATCATCCATGCATGAATAATTGGTGATTCACTGTTGACTTCCTCTAAAATTTAAAAATCTAGTTTCTCATGTGCCACTATACTGAACTTAGCTACTTCCTCCAGAAGAATCAAAAGAAAATTAAAAAAAAAAAATTCCTAGAGTGGTGAGGGTAAATTATACCCAATGTGATGCCCAGGTAAACATATGCCAAGTCTGTTAGATGGAGCATCAAGTTGGTGAAAATCTTAGTTTGATATTGGCATACCAACTGGGTAAACATGAAGATAGCTTTCTGCATCCCTCAGGCAAAGGTACGGAGAAGCACAGTCAATTACTATTACATTAAAGCACAAATTTACAGCAGAAAAGTTATGAGATGTTTGTGTAACCCAGTGTTATACTCTTTATGTTTTTAACACTTACTAACCTGGCTGGCGCCAATACTACGTTCTTTGAAATACAATAGTAGTGGCCAACGTAGGGCACACGTTTTTCTTTTAAGACAAAAGATGTTAATGTACGAGTTTTTTTTTTAATAAAATTTCTCTTTTGTTTTTTTCCTTTTTATTGGTACCAGGGATCGAATCCACGACTGCCTGCTTGCAAGGCAGGCGCTTATGCCGCTGAGCTAAATCCCCAGCCCCCTAAATAAAATTTCAGTATTCATGTTTAATTGCAGTGTTGGCACTCTGCAATAAATAAGTGGATTTTGGTTGCAGTTTGGCCAGCTGTCTCTACAAGGTCTGCTCTCACTGAACTACCGTATACTGTAAATAACCTGGGAAAATGGCTTTTGTAAGTGAAGTGGGGGTAACTGAGTCAGAGACATGCTACCCTATCAATTTACTTTAGCCCCTACTAGTTTCCTCTATGTAAATCCTTAAAGAGTTCTAGAACCGGGACTGGGGATTTAGCTCAGCGGCATAAGCACCTGCCTTGCAAGCAGGCGGTCGTGAGTTCGATCCCTGGTACCGATAAAAAAGGAAAAAGACAAAAAAAAAAAAAAAAAAAAGAGTTCTAGAACCATATGTGCATCCTGTCATTTTACCAAACTTCTACCATGGAATGGGAAATATTATTGCTTCAGGCATGTTATAAAAATTACTCACTTGAAACTGTATTTTTGGTAAACATGTGCCAGGTCTTCAGTTCAATCTCTTAACACCACAGGGAGGACAATGACAAACGGAAAAAAATAAACACAACTACCTTTAAGTGGGCAGGGATCAACACAGGCAAAGGGAAGGCTAGAATATTTTTATGGAAGACTGTGGATGAACAAGCCTGTTTTTTCCTGTATGTGCACTGCATTAGGGATCAAACTCAGGGCTTTGTACATACTAAGCAAGCACTATAGAACTGCACTACAACTCTAGCTTTTGTTTTTACTTTTGAGACAGGGTTTCGCATTATCCAGATTGATCTCCAACTTTTTATTTTCTGCGTCAGCCTCCCTCAGTAACTGCGATTATAGGCTCGAGGTATTAGGCTCATCTTTAATAACTTTGTTTTGTCAAATAATGGAAAACTGTTTGAACAAAGTTGAAAGGATAAAGTAAACAACATCTAAGAAACAACGGAGTCCTACATAATGAAAGTATAAGCAGAACTTTGTAAAATAAAACTGATTATTGTGGGTATCAATATCATTAAATAAATGATAGAGAAATGAGCATACGAACATATAAAGTATCTTTGGGCAGCAAAGAAAATTCCCATTAGCCATAATGAATCATGTACTAACTACCAAGTCAGCATTCAGTCAGTATCAAGAATAGTGCTACAACTAGGTTATATATACTCTAATGTGATGCTAACTGCAAGACTGTCAAGATATGTAAGTAAATCTTTCTCAAATATATGGCAAGCACAGCTGGGAATACAGCTCAGTGGCACAAGCATCTGCCTGGCAAGCTCGAGGTTGTGAGTTCAAGTCCTGGTACCAAAACAAAACAAACCTCTTGCTCAAATATATGGCAAGCACACACATATAAACAGAAAACTCTCTCTTCCCAACATTAAAACAGACTACAGAATTAAAAAACAATATACAAGTCAAAAGTGTTCCTGTACACCAAAATTGAACCCACCAAGAAGGAAATTAGAAGACCATTCCATTCCCAAAGTTTATTTATTTATTTCCCAAGTAAATAAATAAATAACTAGGACTCAACCTATTCAAGTAGATCTCGCTACTGAAAACATCGGAATTCTAAAGAAATTAAAGATGTCATTAGAAAATGAAAAAAAAAAAATCTCTTGTACTTGGATGATGTTACGGATTAAAACCGGTGGTCAACTTAACACCAGCTGAATTAAACCAGCATGATGCTGAGTGTAGAGGGCCCACCTGAAGGAAGTTGCCAGTATAAATAGAAACGTGGAGAAGAAGAGCTAGGCATTGTGGGTTCTCCTAAGTGCTGCTGCTTGGAGCCATTGGTTCTCCCGGAGGAGCTTGTCATGCTGGCTTCTCTGATACGGATTCTGCCATTATCAATGAAGGAGCTTGGGACCTTGTTGCTGAGAGTGATTGTGGTTCACTTTGGAGGAGCTCTGGTCCTTACTTTGAGAATCACTTCCTGGTTCCGGAGGGGTCGATGTTTGCTGTTTAGTCTCCAGAAGAGGATTGTAACGCTGGCTTCTGACATGTATTCATCCTTTCTCATGGTCATAGGAACTCGGGCCCTCTCTGTTGCTGAGCTGACAACTGATGTCATAATTTTCAGGGGAGCCCTGGTCCTTATTTTAAGACTTGCTTCTTGGCTCCAGTATAGAATCTTCAACTTACTAACACAGATCCTTCATCCCACTGGCGTAGACTTTTCTGGCTTCCACCACTGACGTCTGCCTTCTCAAAGCAGATCCATAGACAGACTTGCACAAGTCATTGTTGTGGGCTCTAGGTCTCCAGTTGGACTTATGGGAGGCACTGTCGTGGACTCTAGGTCTTCAGCTGGACTCACACAGGACATTATTGTGGGATCTCAGCCCTTGGCTGAATTTTCTACATCTTTAGTGTTTTGGACAGATTTCCTTCACTTTCTTGTATTTAACTCTGGGTGATCATCATAAAATAATATAAATTCTGTGTCCTATATATAATTGTTCTTCTTGTAACCCCTGACTATAACAGATGAGGAATAATACTGTGAAAATGTTACCAAAAGCAATGAATAAATTTAATGTAATCCCTATTAAAATACCGACAACATGGAACTAAAAAAAGCAATTAAAATACTGACTAAAAAGCAAACCAAAATACCGACAACACAGAACTAAAAAAAGCAACCCTAAAATTCATAGAAAATTTCAGAGTGGTGGTACAGGCCTGTAATCTCCAAACTCCGAGTGTCTGAGGGAGAAGGGTGGCAAATTAGAGGACAATCTGGGCAATTAGCAAGATCCTATCCAAAATGAAAGCATGGACAGGCAATGTAACTCAGTGTAAAGGCTCTGGGTTCAATCTTTAGTAACATGTAAAAAATAAAGAAAATAAAACACACAAAACCATAAGAGGGGCAGAACAGCCAGAGCAATTCTGAGCAAAAAGAGCAAACCTACAGACATCCCAAAACAGTACTGCAAATTATATTCCAAAACAATAATAAAAGCGTAGTACTGACACATGAACAGACACGTAAAACAGAACGGCAGAGAAATCACAAAAACAACCCCATTCAACTAGCTCATCTGATTTTTTTTTTTATTTAAAGAGAAACCAAAAAAATGGAGGAAAAAAAGGGTAGAAATAATACAGAATTACAGAAAAATAAACAGTAAGAAATCACTAGTTGATAAGTTACATATTGTCATCTTAGAAATAGTTGTTCAAGTAGCTCATCTGATTTTTGACAAAAGGGCTAAAAACATCTTGGAAAAGGCAGTCTCTTCAATAAATGATGCTAAAAAAAGCCTGGATACTGACTTGCAAAAGACTGAAACTAGATTCTATTTCTCATCCTGTACTTAAATATAGTCAAACTGGTTGAAAGACCAGACATATATACAGAAACTCTTAAACTACTAGACAATAACATCGGGGACACACTTGATATAGACACAAAATGTTCCCAAACAGAAACCAACAGCACAAGAAATAGTATCAAGAATTAACAAATGGGATTACAACAGATTAAAGTTTCTGCATAGTACAAGAAATAATAAACAGAGTGAAGAGATAATAGACATAAAAACTTTTGCCATCTATTCTCTTGACAGAAGCCTAACAGCTTCTATCTAGTAGTTGTGCATGAGGACTGTGATTCCAGCACTTGGTAGTCTGAGGACAATGTGGACTATACAGTGAGTTCAAGATCACCCTGAACTACCTAGCAAGACCCTTACTTAAAAAAAGACTAACACATGGAATACACAGAACTGAAAAACAAAAATAACACTGAAGCCTAGTATGGTGGTGCACTTCTGTAACCCTAGCACCCAGGAGACTAAGGCAGGAGGATCTCTGCAAGTTTGAGACCAGTCTGAGCTATGAAGTGAGCTCAAGGCCAGCTGAACTGCATAGCAAGACTGTCTCAAAACGCCAAAAACCAAAAACAACAACAAAAGATACTCTGTAAAAACAAATGACCCAGTCAAGAAATGAACTGCACAGGCACTTCTAAAAACGAGTACAGATGGACACACACACACACACACACACATACGAAATTAATAAGTGATGGTGGGGATGGGGTGGAGATCCTCATTATTAGAATGTTAAGGAGAATGATCACTATGAAAATCAGTATAGAGTCCCTCAAAAAGCCAAAACTTTTATTCCATTTGACCCATATATGCTTCTCCTGGGTGGTCTAGAAACAAGGACATCATATAGTGATATAAGCACATACATGTTTATAGTGGTGCAATTCACAATAGGTAAGCTCTGTTAAACACCTAAATACCATCATGTTAAGTGAAATAAGCCAGACTTAGAAAGTATATAGTGTTTTCTCTTTATAAGAAATCTAAAATATAAATAAATAGAAAAGATATGACAGGAAACTAAAAGTTAAAGTGTTAGGGAAAGGGGTAGGTCAAAGGAAAAAGAGTAGTGTAAAGGGATTGAAAATGATATATGCATGCACTATGCCAATTCCTCAAAATGAACATTATTCCATATCACCAATTCACTTAAAAAGTTATTTGATTTTTCTCAAGGTTTTATTCTGAAATATCTCCTGTAGTTTAAAATATAAAGCAGAAAAAAATCTGTTCACTGTAATAGAGGACAAAAACATGAAACACAAATTTATAAAGCGAGAACTAGTGTAAATCACAGCACTTTCAGTGCCTAACAGTAGCTTGGCTTAGAAGCCAGGAGCCATCAAACAGTAATTGTTTTCAAGATCGGCCAACCTCATGGAATGAATATATGATTTTGGTCATAAGTACATAAAACAAAAGAGCCCAATAAAGAGATTCACAATAGAAATATTTTTCTTAATTTTTTAATTTTTGCCAAAACTTCACCAAAAATAACCAAAGGGTGAATCCTGGCAATAGAATAAGTCCAAAAAATTATTTAACAACTGATTGCTTATCTTTTTGATACGGGGTCTCCCTATGCAGTTCAGGCGGGCAGAGAACTCGCAATGATCCTCCTGCCTCAACCTCCCCAGCCAAAGACTAGGCTTGCGCCGCCATGCAAATATTAAATAAAATACTTAAAAAACACCATTTACAACAAACCAGGATGCAGTACCCACTCCCCGACACCAGAGGGAGACAGTAAAGATCAAGAAGTTTCTGAGATATTCCACTAAGCTCCTACGTTCTTTAGAAATCAACTTTTAAGAACACTACAGGGACCCCAAAGTGAAAATAAAGCTAAACAGGTTTCTTTAAATTACAAGCATTAGGCGCAGGCTGGGAGAGTGAGGACGCCAAGATAGCTCCCCAGTAGCCAGGGGACGGGCGAACCGTCGCCTTGACCCACCCTCAGATTCCGATTCCCTCCAAGACTAGCTCTGCGCGATTCTCCCGCGCGCGAGCTCACCACCAGGACGCCTGACGTCACCGCAGGACACGACTCGCCGCGAGTCGAGTGCTGGGCCCAGGCTGGTCCGACATTTGGGGACGGCTTCCAGATCCGCCATTAGAGCTCGCCCAGCCAGACCAGAAACCGCGAGGGCTGGCGGGGAGCGGGCGGCAGCTCCCGCCCCGGAAAACCTGCACCCCGACAAGGTCGATGCGCGGCCCCAAGAGCGGGCAGCCGGCCGGCGCATCTCCCCGGTCACCCTCAGGAGAGGAAAACACTCGCGACCTCCCACCGCCGCACCCGCTCTGCAGCCCCGCCGCCCCGCGACCCTGGCGTCCGCCTCACACGACGCTCCCGGCCGCGCCCACGCTCCCGCAGCCCTCGGGCCGCACGCCAGGGCGCCCGGGCCAGGAGCGCGGCCCCCAGCAGCCCCGAAGCCCGACGGCCAGCGACCACGGAGTCCGCGCCGTCCGCGCCGTGGGGTGGCTAAGCCTGGGTCAGGGGTTAGGCTCCGGAGGCCGCCCTCACCCATCTCCGCCCCCGCCTCCTCCTCTGAAGGATGCGCTGCTCCCAGCAACCCCCACTCTCGGTAGCCCTGGACTGGAAAGAGAGAGGGATAAGCCTCACCCGGTTCTGGCTGCTATTCTGCCGAACGAATCTCCCCTCCCCCGACCCACCCCACTTCGGCGAAACGCACAACTCCGATCACTCCAGTCCCAGGGTTTAGCGCTGGTGTGGAGGAGGCGGAGGTGGAGGAGGCGGTGGAGGAGGCGGTGGCGGAGGCGGAGCCCACACAGGCCCCACCTTCCGCGTGCTCACTGGCTACTGGCGGAGGCGGGCCGAAGCATCTGGAGCAAGGCCATTGGCTACCTTGGCCTTCCTTCAGCACCCCTTCGGTGGGGTGGTCTGAGCACCTGTCCGTCATGTGAGGGCCACGCCCCTGTCCCGCCAGATACACTCTCAGCCTCACTCCGCCCTCATGCCCCCTCCCCCGCGTTCTCCAGGGTCGGAAGCCTGAGTGGCGTCGCGGGTCACACTGGTGCGGCTGGGCTTCAGGATGTGGGGCTTTCGGGGCCAGTGCGGCGCGAATCACTGAGGCGGAGCCGCCTGCCGTCCCGGACTCCCACGGACGCGATACGAGGACGGTCGCGGGCTCTGTGCCGCGCGTCCTTCCTGTCCAGTCCCTGCAAGTCCCTGTGAGGGCGATGTGGGGCGGGCGGCTTCGGCTGGGGAAATTGCTTCGCCTCGCCCCGCCCCGGGAGACAGGCCACACTCCCGTCATGCTGCGACGAGAGGCGATGACGGCCTCCATCTTGGCGGAGGTGCGAGCCCGGGGCCGTGGGCCTTTGTTTCAAGCAGTGCAGGCCGAGCCCCGCCGTTCGCCCGAGGGGCAGTGCTGCGGGCTTGGGATCCCAGACTCGGCGCCGCCTCGCCTCGCCAAGATGGAGGAGTGCTGGGCTGCCCGGAACGGGGCCCGCGCCGCCCGAGTGACCGCATTGCCCAGCGTCCACAGGCGCCGCGTCTCCGTCTTCACTGGCAGCTGGAGGATCCGCGCCGTCCTTGCCCCTACCTAAGTACTAAGCACTAAGTGTTTGATTAATGTTATTACTAATGTTATTAATCACATTAGTTTTGGGGCTGGAGGTTTAGCCTAGCGGCATAAGCACCTGCCTTGCAAGCAGGCGGTCGTGAGTTCGATCCCCGGTACCGATAAAAAAAAAAAAAAAAAATGAAAAAGACAAAAATAAATAAATAAAAGTTTCACAAAGATAGGGCATGTCCTCTCAATACCTAGTGATGGTTAGTATTTAGATTTATGTAACTAAAATTTAGATCCTGGGTAAATCCTTTTGCTACCTTAGAACTGAGCAACACTCTATTTCAGTTTAGGTTCACTAGTATTAATGCATGAAGGTAAGGAGCATTTTCTACTTGATATTTTGGCCTTGACTGCCAATTTAATTAGAATTTTCTGTATCTAAAATAATACCTTTTACTTAAAGGCATTTTAGTGTGATTTATGATATCAAAGAAGGACAGTTCTATTTGTTTGTTTTTTGAGACAGGGTGTCACTATATAGTTCAGGTTGCCCCTGAACTCACAGTGTAGTGCAGACTGGCCTCAAGCTTGCAGCAATCCTCCTGCTTCACTCTCCCAGATGTTAGGATTACAGATGCGCGCCACCACATCCAGATTCAGTTCTTGTATTTTATAACTTTTTAAAATTTTAAATTTTTACAATAATATTTACAATCATGGTGGGGAGTTGGTACTTGTACATAAAACATCTTAATTCTTTTTAATCCCCCCCCATACCCCCCATCTCTTGGTCCTTTTCCTGTTAGCAAAAAATTTATCCTGTTTCATTTTATCTTTTTTTTTCACTTTATACTTTGAATTTCTCATCTGAGAGATACGATATTTAAGCTTGTGTGTCTACGTTATTTCATTTCACATTGTTTTATGTTGCTTCCATTTTCCTATAAATGAGTCAAATTTATTCTTTATTGCAGAATAGTGCTTTATGGTGTACAAATACCGTATTTTTTAATTCATTCATCTACTGATGGTCATATAGGTACAAGATTTAGCTATTGGGGGGTGGGGCCAAAAAAAAAAAACATTTAGCTATTGTGAAGAAATAGCTGTTTAGGTTTTTGGGACATCCTCTGAGTAGCTGGCAAAAATGTTTTCGTATTCTGCAGGTTATCTCTTCATCCTGTTGGTTGTTCCCTTTGATATTTTATAGTTGATTAGGTTTAGAAGTGTCTAAAGTCAGCATGATTGATAATACAAATTTAGACTTGACTTTTTGAATTTTGTTTTCTTGTTTTTTTCTTTTTGAAACATACCTTACTGTTCTAATTTCTGAGAAAATACCCAATCTAAAGCTGAAAAAGAAAGGTTTGTTTTGGCTTACAGTATATAGAAGTTTCAGTCCACAGTCAGCTGGCACCAAGGCAGAGTGACATGACAGAGGAGCAGCAAAGGGGAGAAACAGTCTTTGGCAAAGCAGGATAGGCAGAATATAGCCAAAACTGAAGTAGCAGGCAGCAAGCAAAATAATAAGCTACCACAGTAGCCCTCTTTCAGTCTTATATTCTGTCCAGGGTACTGCGTTTAGGGTGGGTACAATTTAGACCCAGAATGGGCCTTCCTGTTATCTACTGCCTGATCTATACCAAAACAATCAGTAGAATAATTTAGTAATTATACATCCTTGATCCCACAGTCTAGACCCAGCCATCTCTGCAAAACCCAAAACGATGATCTTAAGCTTTGGGGAAATATTTTTTCTCAATATCACATAAAATGTTTTTCAAAATAGAAACTATCTTAGGCTTTAAAGCATGCCTAAATGAATGCAAAGGAATTTACATAATCCCCTGTATACTATCCAATTATAGTGGAATGAAGCTTGAAAGTAATAACAAAAGAAACCACAGATTACACAAATTTATGGTGATTAAATAATACATTATTCAACAACCAATATGTTTCAGAAGAAATCAGGGAAAAAATGAAGTTCACAGAATCAAACCACAGTAGAAGTGCAACATGTGAAAACTTATGAGACACAATGAGAGCAGTACTGAGGGAAGTTCACAGCTGTAAATGCACGCACTAAAGGAATTGAGCAGGACCAAGCTAATTCCTAAAATAAGAGAAGTCCAAATATGAAATTAATAAAAGTATAAAGATCAGAATACAGTTGAATAAAATTAGTACAAAAGATCAATTAATGGAAAAAGGATTCTTTGAAAGACTAACATTGGTAAACCAATTTTATTCAAAACCCCTTTTTGGTAAACCAGATTTATTCAAAAAAAGAAAGTATTATAGCTTGGCATAACTGATGCTATCTTGAGCCCTGCATTTAACTAGTGCCCTGTATTTGATCCAGGAAAATGGAAAATTACTCAAGGTGTAAGTCCCATGAGAAAAGCAGAAAGAGCTGTACCCACAAGAGAAAAATTAACCTGCTCAACAAAAGAAGCAGGATACAGGTGTCAACCAAAAATTAATATAAGATTCTAGCTAAATTGTTTCCAACAGGATGTCTTTTTGTAGTTCTCTGTTTTAAAAACTTTCCAGTTCAGGGCTACTCGGTGAGACTCTGAAACGGGGTCTATGCAAGTGATTGCTGAGCTCAGCTAATTAAATTCCAAATTTATCAACTTGGCTGCTTGGATTCCTATATTGTTTATAAACCCACTTCAGAAGGCAAAAGCGTGTATGAACACAATTAGGAATGAAAAAGGCAAAATCACAACTGAAATTCTCAAAATCCAGAGGATTATAAGAAACTGCTCCAAAAATATCTTCCAATAAATTGGAAAGTATGGAAGAAATGGAGAAATTTAGACACATATGAGTTACTAAAATTGCACCAAGAAGATATAAAAATTTTTATTGGACCAAAAATACACAACAAAATAGAGACAGCAATAAAATACTACAAAGCAAAAGCCAGAACAATGGATTCACCACGAAATTCTACCAAAACTTTAGGAAGATCTAATCCCAATACTCAAATGCTTCAAAGAAACTGAAAGTGAAAGGAGTACTGGCACAGTCATTTCTGGAAGTGATTATTACCCTAATACCAAAACTGGATAAGAACTAACAACAAAAAGAGAACTATGGGGCAATCTCTTCAAGGAACATAGATGCAAAAATACTCAACAAGATACTGGCAAACGGAATGTAGCAAATCATCAAAAGGATCATACATGCTCATACGAGTAGATTTCATCCTAGGTATGTAAGGATGCTTCAACTATGTAAATCAATAATTGCAGTCCCTTGGTTCTCTACCCTTACTGGTATAACCATGAAGCTATATGAGTGTATAGATAGTTAACTGTCTTAGTCACTATTTTGTTATTCTGACAAAATAGTTGATACCTATAACTTAAGAAAGAAGAGATTTGCTTTAGCTTACACTTTAGAAAAGGTTTCAGTCCATAGTTAACTGAATTGAAAGGCAGGATGGCATGGCACCAGAGTATGGTGTAGAACTGAGAACTGCTCATGACACAGCAACAGGAAAACAGAGACATCAAGGAAAGAGGGAGAAATGTATGTTCATCCAATGACTGGCTTCCTTTTTTTTTTTTTTTTTTTTTTTTTTTTGAGATAGGGTCTCACTATGCAGTTTAGGCTGGCCTTGAACTCACTTTGTAGCCCAGACTGGTCTCGAACTCACAACGATCCTCCTGCCTCAGCCTCCCAAATTCTGGAATTACAGGCATGAGCTACCATGCCCGACTTGCACTTTATTTTTTTCATGGTACCAAGGGTTGAACTCACGACCTTATGCTTGCCAAGCAGGCACTTATGCCGCTGAGCTAAATCCCTGGCCCAATGTTAACATTTCAGAAAGCCGGTTTTTTGTTTGTTTTTATCGGTACTATGGATCAAACTCATGACTGCTCGCTTGCAAGGCAGGCGCTTATGCCACTGTGTTAAATCCCCAGCCCCAGTGACTTGCTTCTTATAATCACACTTCATCTCCTAGTACTGGGTTTAGCTATCAACTCACTAGTGGCCTAATCTGCTTGTGAATATTGTGCCTCCAGGAACCAGTGACCTCTCAAAAGCTCCACCTATCAGCACATGAGGCTTTGCAGTTTTGTCGAAATATAAGCCCTAATGTTAACTAAATTACTACTGTTGTATACTGTTCTAGTGTTACTAGAGGTGTAGTTGTGACATTTACTATATGTTTACTGTATGTCTGTTGGGAGCCGCGTCTGTGATAGCT